AAGATACATAAGTTATACCGTTAGATAGCCCTGTTTCCTAGCTATCTAATGGTAGTCTTTATGTATCTCAATTCTAACTATTAGTACTGGTTTTTGGAATATAAATAAGAGAGGTTTTTCCTGAGTTTTCCTGTACTAGTAATTCAATTCAATGAACATATTCAACAAGCAAATTTGATCAATTTGATCCTTGTTACCCTTTGTTACTAGACCAGTGATAAGACTAGCTACCCTATAGCTTCAAAGTCTTATAGTTTAAGGGTCCAATTTCCAATCCTCAACAAACTACCCTACTGCCTATACCTAAATTAAAAATAAAAAGGGGTAAAAAAATAAAGGAATTACTATTTTTATATATAAAAACCCTAAGGGTTTAAGGGAAATAAATTTTATATAATAGTATACTTTTTTTAAAAAACTAAAACTAAAATAGCCTTGGGCTATTTCTATAGTAGAAATACTATATATAGGTTTTTCTTTTACTTAAGAGGTTTTTCCTATATAAAGGAAGATATTAGGGGATTAAAAATAGCTATTTAAAATAAATATTTAAGGTAATAATAATATTATTATTATTATTAAATAATTTTTATATAATTATAAATAATTTTAATATATTTATTATTTACTTAAGTAAAAAAAAATTAAAATAATAATTTTTATAATTTAATAATTTTATTTAAAATTGTTAAAAAAAAATTTTTTTTAAATAATTAATTTTAGTAAAAAGTTTTAAATTATTATTTTTTAATAAATAAGAATTTTTTTTAAATTAAGTAATATTTACTATACGTTTTTAAAAAATATACTATAGTATATAATTATTAAATAGTATTTATAAATAAAGTATTTACTTTATGATATTTTTAATTAAATTACTAAATTATTATATAATAATAAATTAAATAAGTAATTACTTACCTAAGGGTTATTAAATAATAATTTTCTTTTAACTTAAATAATATTTAAGTAATATTAATATAAAATAAAATAAATAATTACTATTAATTATTATAGTAATTAATAAAAAAAATAAAAAAATAAAAAAGCTTAATTTTTTTTAATTAAGTATAATTATAAATATATTATTAAGTAATAAATAAACTATTAAATAATTTATTAATTAATAAAAGTAAAGGCCAAGGCTTAATTATTAATTAATAAAATAATTTTTCTTAATTTAAAAAAAGTTTTTTTTAAAAATAAAATAGAATAATTTATATTTTAATTTCTTCAATTAAATTTAGTTAAGATATTATTTTACTTTAGTTTAATAATTTTAATTTTATTAAAATATTTAATTATAAATATAATTTTCTTTATAATATATTTAAATTAATTAACTTAAGGTAATTCTTTTATTTATAAAGGATTTTACTACTTACAGTAAGGTTATCAGCAAATAAATAAATAAATAAACTAATAGGTACTTGGGATAAGTAATATTATTTATTAAGCCTAAAGCGGGCTACAGATTCCACTCTCCGATGTCGGCGGGGTTGCGCTACCAGACGAAGCCGTCCCCAACTACGTTCTGCCATGCATCTTGTCGAATATTTTCTTCAAGTCCCTTTTCAATTCCCTTTCCAACTTACTTTCCTACAATATCCCTCATCACTCAATTTTTGAACCTCTTTGCTTATTAGTTACGTTGATACGAGCAAGTCCGTCTTTGACAAAACACAAGCCTCTTTCGTCATAACTCTAAGCTTCTGACTTTCTCTGTCGGGCCTCCCACCTCCCACCTCGTCTTCGACCCATTCTGGTGCTTCGCCACTTAAGACCGACTCTTCTTTAGACGAACTCCGTCAGACAAGTTTTTATAATCATGGCGGAACACAACATTGTTGTTTTTGCGGGCGACCACTGCGGCCCCGAGGTAACTAACTACCCCCGAGCTTTCCCACCCTTGACTCTAGACAGAGAGCGGCTGACTTTGGTTATTTGACAGGTTATTGCTGAGGCAATCAAGGTACGAGTCTGGTATCTGCGACCTGTAGTTGATCACGTCTGACACAGGATTCAGGTTATCAAGACGGTGGAGGAGCTAAGCCCGACTGCTGGCAAATTCAATCTGCAGGACCACCTGCTCGGAGGGGTAGGTCGTGCCCGACGACGGATTACACGGGCTCAAAGATATCAAGTCTCTGGCTAACCTCGGCGTTTCACCCCAGTGCTCCATCGACCAGACCGGTACCCCCCTTACAGACGAGGCTCTCGCCGCCGCCAAAGCCGCCGACGCCGTGCTCCTCGGCGCCATTGGCGGCCCCAAATGGGGCACCGGTGCCGTACGCCCGGAGCAGGGCCTCCTGAAGCTACGCAGTGAGATGTGCGCCTATGGAAACCTCCGTCCCTGCTTCTTCGCCTCCGACGCCCTCGTCGAGGCCTCCCCCTTAAAGGCATCCGTCTGCCGCGGCGTTGACATGATGTTAGTCCGGGAGTTAACCTCAGGCCTGTATTTCGGAGAGCGAAAAGAGTACGATGGGGTTAATGCGTTCGACACTACTGTTTACACGAAACCAGAAATCGAGCGTATCGCGCGGCTGGGCGGCTACCTGGCCAGGACTCGGGGAGACTCGCGGGTCATCTCGCTGGACAAGGCGAACGTGCTGGCGACAAGCAGACTCTGGCGTCAAGTGGTTGATGAGGTCTACAAAAATGAGTTCCCCGATCTTAAGGTCGAGCATCAGCTTATTGACAGTGCGGCCATGATCATGGTCAAGAACCCGACGCAGTTGAATGGCGTTATAATTGCGCCCAACTTGGCAGGTGAGCGAGGCCCCCCATCTACCTCGAAAGCGGTTTAGCTAACAAGTTTTCAGGGGATATTCTCAGCGACGAGGCGAGCGCCATAGCTGGAAGCATAGGGCTTCTCCCGAGCGCGAGTCTCTGCGGGATTCCGGGCTCTGCAGTGCGTTCCATCTGTGAACCGATTCATGGTAAGACATCTATCCTCGACTCGAACCCTTACGTAATCATAAGTCACTGACGTCGATGACAGGCAGCGCGCCGGATATATCAGGGAAAGGGATTGTTGTGCGTTAAGACCCCGTTTCGGGCGATTCCTATCAATTCGCTATAAGTGCAGAACTGACATCATTTCTAGAATCCCATTGGCACCATCCTTTCCGTAGCCATGATGTTCCGTTACTCTCTGAATCTCGCCCACGAGGCCAAAATCGTTGAGGACGCGGTCCGCGCTGCCATTGACGCCGGGCTGAGAACCAAGGACATGGGCGGCAGCACGGGCACCGCAGAAGCAGGAGATGCCATCGTTGCTGAGCTGGTCAAGATTCTTAAGGCGTGAGATGTCTCACGCGAACAGGAGAGTGGACAGAGGGGTTGAAAGGGGGAAATGGGAGGTGAAGGTGTGGAAGGTTTGAAGAAAATAGTGGTTGTCGAGCGAAGGAAGTCGGGAAAAGAAGTTTTGGAGGAAAATAGTTGTTGACAGAAGCGGTTGAGAAGAGATTGGTTGACGCTGAAAAGTGTTGACGAAGAAAGGGGTTGGCAGAAAAGGGGCACCCAAAAATCAGCTGCGAGGTTGAACCCATGTGAGAAATGACAAAGAGGGTTGAAAAAAAAAACTTGAAACTAAAAATGATGTAGAAACATGGAAATGGGGGGAGATGTACAAATCAACAAGATGGTTTGGGTTGGATTGGATAAACCATTTCCATGGATATGTTCTTCAGCATATAGCACTAAGAAAAGGGACGTTAAAAAAAAACCCCCCCCCAAGCCATTATCGTAGTTTGCGTCATTTGGGTCAATGATATCAAGGCTGACCATGGCTGGTGGTAGTCCTGGTGTATACCACGTCGGCGTGTTTTGAAGTGCTTATTCTATCCTTCTATCGGGATGTGGCAGAGCCCACTATCGTGTGATGACCCGTCTCAATCCAAGTCCTTGCTAATACTACTCTGTACCCTAGAAAAAGACCTATCCAGGGCTGCTAAGGCTGGACCGGCATGGACTGAACTGCTAAGATAATAATGCGCATATCTGGCCAATAATGTCCTGCATGGGTAAGCGGCAATGGAGTTGGTTGATAATACAGCATGGATGCAAGCAATGGAAGGAAACTACCAGACATTGATGGCAATCAGAGTTGAAGATAGTACAACATATGATGAGAGAAAGGCAAAGGCGATTTACCGGCGACGGGATCGTACTCGTCTCTACACTCAGGATGAAGGTAGGCAGTTTGCAGGCTCCTCGGTCTCAACCTTCAACGTCACAAAGATAAACATGACGTGCATATGCAGATAATATAATGATGCCGTTGGCTGGTTGCCCATCCCACACAACATCATGCATCCATCTGCACCCCAGGGCCGAATCTCATCGCAGCTAATCTAATCAATCTAATCCAATGTCCGACCGATTCATCAAATATCCCCGACAGCCTGGAAGTTTCCCCCGAACTCCTGCGTTGACAACTCCGATCCTAGGACATTTTCGAGGCTTGTGGAGACTAAGACACATACAGATATTTTACGGCGCGGATAGAAACCCCGATTTGCCCGATCGCAAATAGATACCCCAAAGCCTCGCCATTAAGATACCGCGAGAGACCATCTTCGGGTCCCATTTTGGCTGCGCTGGTCGCGCACAAAGTTGCCTCTTTTAAAAGAAAAGGAGCAGCGAGAAGTCGCCCTCCGATCTGCGGATTGCTATATGCATTGAATTGTACCTTCTATGGCTAGTTTTACAGATTATTAACCATCTACCGTATTTCAACCAGCTCTCCAAGGAGGAGTGGCCGATGAAGAAGTCCAGGATTGATAAGCATAGCCAAGGAGTCCGATGATCAATATCAGAGAGACGGAAGTTCCCAGACTGCTAGGCACTATCTAGTATACCTTGCTGCTAGACCGCATCTCCGCTTTGTGGAAAACGACTATATATACTCCTTAGCCAGAATGAACCACTTAGTTGAGAACCCATAATCTCAACAGTTCATCTCAACCGTTCTCTCTCGCCCTTTTGTCTATTCCTCCACATACATCTGCTACACCACTACCAACCAACATGGCCATCATCCACCTCGTTCTAGTGGCCTTCAAGCCAGACGCCTCTCCCGAGGCCATTGCAGACGTGCGTTTACACCCTCCAGTCTCATTAACAATCATAATCCCTCTTTCTCAAGAAACCAAACAAAATACTAACACAAATTCCCCAAATTTCCACAGGCCAACGCAGGCCTCCTCGCCCTCAAGGACAACTGTCTGCACGCAACCACAAAAACCCCCTACATCAAGTCCGTCACAGGCGGAATTAACAATTCTCCCGAAGGCCGCAACGTAAGTCTCCCAAAATCTCCGTAGGCAGAATTAGGAAACCCCGTGTTTGCCCAAGGTGAGAAGAAGAGATAGATCACAGCTGATTCGGCGAACAGAATGGCTTGACTCATGGCTTTAGCTTCGAGTTCAACTCCCTCGAGGACAGGGCATACTATCTCAAAGAAGATCCAGCTCACCAGGGCCTCGTTGCCAAGCTTGTTCCCATCATCGAGAAGCTCACTGTCTTTGACTACGAGACTGGTGTGTTCTAGTGATTGGTGGACACAGAGATGAATAGTGATACAATAGCTGTATAGACTAGACATTTGAAAAAGTATAGAAGCAATAGGAAACAAGCCAAAACAAATGCCGTCATGCGCATCTCGTATCATAGTACAACACAATGAGGCAGAGTGCAACAAGGCGCAAAGAAACAAATGTCAGCACAACCATGAATGGCTTCAATTGATGAGTAGAATATTGAATTAAGAAAAAGAAAAACTTCAAGTATACATCATTTCATTACCCTCGTGTTCATAACCCATGCCTCGCTCTAAAGACGTGAAAAGCAGATTTCTAACGGCACATGTTACAAAGTCGGCCTCCATCAAATTGCAATGCCAACAAACGCCTGCTCTTTTTTCCCTTGGTATTTTATTTGTCCTTTTCCTTGAAACGCAAACCCATTATTTTCTCTTCATCTCTTCATCCGAAACATTAGTTGTCGAGCCAATCGAGGAACTGGGGGGTGAAGTAGCTGATGACAATGGTGGCACCAGCTCGAAGAATGCTCTCTGTAGATTCAAAAGCCATGGCCTTGAGATCAAACACTCCGGCCTTGGCAGCAGCGTGAATCATGGAGAACTCGCCACTGACTTGGTAAGCAGCGATGGGCAGGTCCTTGCCAAGGTCCTTGGCGTCACTAATAATGTCCAGGTACTGGCCAGCAGGCTTAACCATGATGATGTCGGCACCCTCGTTCATGTCGCGGATAATGGCTCGGCGAGCAAGGCCACGACCTCCAGGGGGCAGCTGGTAGCACCTGCGGTCGCCAAATGACGGGGCAGAGCCGGCTGCGTCCCGGAAAGGTCCGTACAAGCAACCAGAGAACTTGGCAGAGTATGACATGAGGAGCGTCTTGTGGGCAATGCCCTCCTCGATCAGCTTCAGCTTGATAGCACGAATACGGCCATCGTTCATGTCTGAGGGAGCGACACAGTGTGCTCCAGCCTTTGCGTAAGCGATGGCAACATCAGAGATGCGGTCGACAGACATCTGGTTGTTCAGGCTGCTGTCGTCTCGCAGGATACCACAGTGGCCGTGAGAGGTATACTCGCAGAGGCAGACATCGGCGCAGATGAAGAGTTGAGGGAAGCGGCGGCGGATGAGCTGAATAGCCTGGATGACTGGGCCCTCGGGATCATCAGCGGCACTGCCAAGGGCATCCTTGGTGCCAGGCTTCATGGGGACACCAAAAAGCATGACGGATCGCAGTCCCTTGTGGACGAGAGGCTCGAGGAAGCCAGTCAGTCTGCTGATGCTGACTTGGAACTGGCCAGGAAGAGAGGCCACTTCGACCATGTCATCCTCGCCGTCGGTAACAAAGATGGGGTAGATGAGCATAGACTGGAGGCAGAGAGTCAGTAAAAGACAGATATCACACCAAATTGTTGGGAATCCCGTCTTACCTTGGTCAGCTGGCGCTCAGACTGCCAGGATCGAGCCAGAGGGTGAAAGTAGCCGCCGTGAAGCTGGCTGCCGATGTCGCCAGCGATGCTCACGCTGGTGGCTGCGGTGCTGGCATAACCAGACATGGTGCGAGAAACGTGCGATGCTCGGTCATCGAATGTTGAGACTGAAGGCGCAGGACCAGGCCGGCGAGCACTGTTGGCATCGCGAAGGCTAAGTTCCTGGACGAGACTGGAGAAGGACATGTTGCGCTGGTCAATTGAGCAACTTGGCTCTGTGCGAGTCGTGGTGATGGTTTGGTGGGACCGGGAAATTGTGGATGGTGACACTGATGGGAGGGTCGCCTTCCGATGGTCAGCACAAAAATCTAGGACTCGAAAAGGCCGCAGGAAACGAGATGCCCGGCACCAAACAAGAGGCAGAGGCTACTGAAGAAGGAAAAATAAACAGTGAAGTTGAAGTGTGGAAGAAGAAGAAGAAAAAGAAGAAAAAGGCGAAACGATGTCGGCCCCAGAAGTTTCGAGGGACGTACCTGCAGTCAGATTTTTTACCTGTGCGCAGCAGCGGTTCCGCGGAGGCAGGAACTTTGATGGTGCAGGTGCAGCAACTTGCCTCGGAAAGGCGCTCCAGTACGCTCCCGATACGCAAGCCGACAGCCAATCAGCGAAGGGGATTTTCCAATATGCGCTACGGTTTAGCGGCTTTTTAGTGGGCAGAGAGAGGAATGTAGCACTCAACGGCTCCTGCAAGTGTTTGGCGGTGCCGAGCTGCTTACAGGTGCTTGCTTGCCGAGGGGGGGTAAGATGAGATCTCGGAGGAACTGATTGATCCATGTTGTCGTATTACGAGTATACGGTCATGATTATTGTTGATTCACTTCCTACAGGTATAATTATTGCACTCACAAAAATTGAAATAGATCAGCTAGAATAGTATTACATACTGTATAACCGGGCACAAAGCCACACTAGCTAGACCACCTCCTTTTGCTCATAGCGTGCGGCACCATTCGGGAATCCTCGTACGAGTCCGTGGAGCCGGATCACGCCCGGCATTTGTTCGGGGTGCTCCGATAACACCTCAATTCTGCTCTTCTCTGCGCCGTGCAGGGTGCGGCACAATTCTTGCCACCACTTCCGTGCTCTCCCCAGCTATTGATGTCATATTCCGAGCCTTGTCTAATTTTATCGCTGCTTGTTTTATTTGTATCAGTATTCCAGACCGCATTTCGATTTCTCTTTATACCTCCAAGAGCCTTCCTCATCGTGAATAGTCCGCCAATTGAGCAAGGTGGTCTCTCGCGTGAGCACTATTCACCACGAAGCCCGGGAATGTCATCATCTGTTACACACCTTCGGCTTTCATCTCCGCAATGAGAAAAATGCCATCTTTCAAGATTCTCAGCATAGTAGGGGATGTAGTAGTACATTGTAATGTCTATCTGCGCCATACATGAAGTTATAGATGCTTCCAGCCTGATCAAGTGCCATGACACCTTGCTCAGATTCGCCTTTTTTTGTGTCATACTCCCAACAATCCGTAACCCTCTTACAATCCTCGCAAAATTGAGTTGTCTCGCTTGTCCATTGGAACGTATCTCTCCTTGAGAATCTCTGCTGTTGTCCGTGTGTCTTTTGAAGGCTTCTCGTATCGTTGATTCAAAGCCTGCTGCACAGGACTCAGCGTGGCCTTGTCACCCGTCATCTCTTCCACCTGGGCCTCTGCTAGGCCGACAGCAGTCTTGGCCTTGCCCACAATCTCCTTTGCCTTCTCTCGACCCTTGTCCAGAGTTGGGCTAACAATTCCCTTGGCCTCCGTAGCCGTCTCCTCGATGGCCCTCTTGGTTCTCAGCCTTGCGTCCAGAGCCCGGTTCTCGGCAGTCATCTCAATGCTCTCAGCTGATTCTTTAACCTGGTTGAACGCCCCTCTTGTAGCAGCCGCAATCTCGCCGCCAGCCTTCTGCGTCCTCTTCACAGGCTCCAGAGAGCGCCTCGCCTTTTCCACATCCTCCACAGACTGGCCTGTGGCCTTGGCCCACAGGTACGCGACTCTGCCCTCCATGCCCTCGCGTACCTCGTCCCAGTCCGTGTGCTGCACCCAGCGCACAGCGTTCTCGACCTCAGAGTTCCATCGCTGCTTGGCGACCTCGACGGCGGCTTCTCGCTGGGCAGCGGCGACTTCGGATCGGGTCGGGGGCAGTGGTTGGGGAATTGGATCGATGAGGTGCTGAATCATGAGCGTTTGCGTGCGCAGTGATTTGCTTTGGGCCTCGCGGGTGCGCTGGTGGGCGAGGACAGAGAGGTAGGCGAGGGACAGGGTGAGCGTCACGCCACCGGTCTATGTAGAGAGAGACATGTAAGCATTGTACCGTAGAATCGGCCGCAAAGTGAGAATCGGGAATGAAAGGCACTGAGTCGACTCACGAAGCCGGTTGCGAAGCCCATGGTGTCACTGGAGAGACGATGCGAATGCGAACGGGGGCGGCTGATGAAAAGAGAGATATTAATTCCTGGGGCGAATCTCGACAGGTGCGGCTGTGTGTTATGCCCTATGCGCGGCTTCTCATGGTGCAATTGAGCTGCGCAGCTCCCACAAGATGCAAAATTGCGTGTTTCTCAGGCCAAATCACAGGGGAAACTTTGCCTGCGCCGGGCGTAGAAAAAAAGAGTGACGATGTTGGAGCTTTGGTGGTTGGTTTTGACGTAGCTCGGCCGATACCAGCGTTCGACGTTCCCAGATTGGGCCCGAGATTCGCCGCCAAAAATTTGGACGTGCAAAAAATTACAGCCAACCAGACGACAGACAGCCCACCACAAAGTCCCGGCGCAGTGAGACGTTTCGACCTCAACAGCCAAAAAATCAGAGGAAAAGCGACCAAATCCCCTCGCAATTCGCATTTGCATTCGCATTCCTATATCCTGCAACCCTCAATCGCACGTCAAGTTTCTGCTGGGCGCAAATGGCTGGTGGCCTCGTCAAATACCGGCATCTGAGCCGCAAGTCCTCGGCCAGACAGGCTCTGCTGCGAGGCCTCGTTACCCAGCTCGTGCAATATGAACACATCCAGACCACATACGCAAAGGCAAAGGAGACGCAGCGACTCGCCGAAAAGTTAATAACGCTCGCCAAAAGAAACAATGAGCCGTGCAGGAGGTCGGCGCAGGGTATTCTTTATGTCAGTTGAACCTCTCTTTGTTGCAGCTTGGCTTCCTCTTCCCCTCCTTCGACTCAGCTACTTACTGCATGATATCAGACACCAAACCTGCTTATGCCCAAGCTCTTTGGCGAGCTACGGAACCGCTACCTGACCCGCGAGGGAGGCTATACTCGAGTCGTCCGCACCGAGCCCAAGAACACATACGACCAGGGCGAGAGCGCAATCCTGGAGTTTGTCGATGGAAAGAAGGATTCTCGCTTCATGATGACGGCCAAGACTCTTGCGCGAGACCGGCTATTAGGACGATCCTCGACCCCTGTGACGCTCCAGAACGTGAAGAAGGTGACCAAGTTCCGCGACGAGAAGGAGCTGGAGGAAATGGTTCAGCGCTTCATGATTCTCAGCACCGAGGGAGAGGGTGCGCTTGAAGCTCAGAGTGCGGAATCAGCCAAGTTGGCGGAGAAGGAGGGTGCTGCTGCGGAAATCCTGGCGGGAGATATTGTTCCTGAAAGCGCAAAATCTGGCGAGCAAGTCAAGAGGTGAATGATTCTATGATGTATGAAAGATGGATAAGGGCTATGACGGGAAGAAGGGAAAAGAAAAGAAGAAGAAGAAAAATCTAGAGCTGCGACACACCCTTTCTGAGGGATGGACGCACCATGTACAACACAACACATTTATGTACATTTATATCTACAATAGTGGAATGATAAGCCAACTGCCTCGAGATATTGAGGCTTCAAATCACAATCAGTTGCAGGCAATCCCCAATGTGACAAAGCCAACATGCCAAGTATAATATTATGCTAATCATTTCCAACTCTATCTTTTGCGCCGAGGACATATCTACACGAAATCAAAGGTATCACCACGATCTTGAATCATCTTTCCTACTCTCTTCGAGCCCGCAATCCTCTCCAGCTTCATCACATCGTATTTGGAGAAGATGGCCCGCACCGTTCCTTGACCAGGCTCAATCTTCATGTCTTTCTCACTCTTGGCCAGGTATCCACCAGCAATCTCCTTATAGAAGATGGGATTGTCCGGCAGCCCGTAAAAGATGACTCTCTGAACACCGCTGAACTGATACCGACGGAAGTGGTGAGCTCTCTCTGTGTAGAGCAAAATCCGATGTCGACCAGTCAGGAAATGAGATCGAGCTCGAGATGCTTCTCGAACCTCAGTGTATTCAGATATCACTCCAAAAGTGAGAGCACTCACTTCGTCGGCAGTGGCGAAATAGTTTCTCACGCGTACAAAGTCAAGATAGGATGGGACGAAAATGAGCGTTCCACTCGAGTCTTTGGATCGCTTCACCAAAGATGGGATAATGGCAGACTTAAAGTAGTCAAACCTAGCTTCGGGATCCCTCTCCACGGCGCTCGACTGGAAGCGTGAAAATGTCTGCTTGACCTTGACACCCAGCTGTCCAATAACACCGGGGTATTCTGGCTGCAGGCGGACTCTTCCGGCCCAGTTATGGCAGTACAGCCTCTGGAGTTCTGCCAATTCAGGAGTGTTAAAGGCAGACAAGATGACAGTCTGTCGGAAATACTTTGCCCAATCCTCCAAGTACCAATTTCTGACACGGCTAAAGTCGCAGTCGTGAGCATCCTTGGGTTGAAGGTTCAAGTGCTCAAAGATGTACTCGACGTGCTCCCAATTCTGCATCAGAAGAGCGTCTGCTTGATCCATGACGACCATCTCAATGGAGCTGAGAAAGTCAAAATCAGGCTTCTTCTTCTCTTCCTCAGATCCCATTGCCATGCGGAGACCAAGAGGACTAGCAAAGAGAATATCGGAGCTATAGAATTGCGCAAAGTACTTTATAGTCTTGCGCGTAAATTTAACACCGATGCGGAACATGTCATCGTCGTTGCCGCCAAACAGATCCTTGAAGTCGGCAGGCCGATCAGCACCGAAAGCTTCGTCGCTTTCAGCGTATGATTCATTGAACCGCTTAAAATTCTCCTGTTGGTCTGGCTCAACCAAATCTTGAATTACCTTCATCATCTTGGCACACGAGTTGCGTGTTGGTAGAAGGAACAGGACCTTGGGTCTGGTGAAGCCTTGGTCTCGGAGTTCAAGCTCCGAATCAGCACCAGCCTTTGAAAGCTTGTAGTTGTTATTAATCACTCTGTCTCGAGTCCTGAAATAAAATTAGCATCCCATCATCCGAACTTTTAGTTTATTTGGTCCATCTTACTTGAATACGTGGTTGAGCGCATGGAGACAGACCGCCTGGCGTATTTTGTTGGAGTTCTCCACGGATCGATCGCAAAACAAGATGTCCTTGTAGTCGAACAATAAGGGTGCAAATGCTTTTTGCGCTGCATCTAGGTTGCCCATCTTCTCCTTTGCCGTGTCCCGCAATTTCTGCTTCAGCTTCAACCCACCGAGCCCTGATATTGGCTGGGGAACGGAGGCATTGTTATCGGTGCCAGGAGATGTAAGAACTGCTCTCCAAGGCTGTACAATAGCTCGAGTCGTTGTCCACTCTCCATTCTTCGCCGCGACAACAGATTGCGAGCTGATTTGTTGATCTGGATTGGCGAAATGTGAATCGAACGGGTCCGTAGCGTCAATCTCGTCTTCTGAATCGTTCTCTGGGTCCTCTTCAATGTTGGAAGCTGGATCTCCTCCTTCTTCTTCCTCTTCATCGGCCTCATCAATGTCTTCCCGCTTAGACTCGGGCTCTTCCTCGTCGTCTGACTGGTTCACGGCGGGACTTGGGCTCCGGCTCGAGGGCTCATCATGTGCAATCTTTCTCCTCTTGGCGCTTGGCGCACTTGAATCGTGGAATTTCTGCATCAGTGCCATATACGGGCGTGCTGGAGCTTCTTGGTCGTCGTCGTCGTCTGATACATCTTGGAGCATTTCGTCTTCCACATCTGAGGCATCGGATCCAGATCCATTCGCGCTGTATGGGAAATGATTTGTTAGCTACAAATGAATACAGGCCAATAGTCAAAACAACAGGTCCAAGATTCTTACTCTTCATCTTCGCCATTTTCAGCCAGACGAGCACCATCAAATCTCCTGTCTGGGCCCCATTGGCTGAACTGGCCACCACGACCTCGACCTCTGCCTCCTCCGCCCCGACCTCTGCTGCTCCCTCTGCTGCCGCCTCTGCCTCTTCCACCGCCTCTGAAACTGCCTCTCCCACCGCCTCTCGAGCCGCCGCCTCTGAAATTTCCACCTCTTCTAGGACCAGCCATTACGTTTTATTGTAAAGGAACAAGATTGGCTGCAAATCAAAGTAACTCCTCGCAATGGAAGGCAGATTCAAGGACAGGACAAGGTCGAAAAAAAAGTTTCGAATGAAGCTGTCAGCCTTGCATGGATATGTGGATCAGACTCACCAGCCACACAATGGTGGGGTAGATTTGGCCTTGCGCCACGCAGCCTTGTCGCAAAGGTGAGCTGCAGCAATTTTAGTGCGCACAACCCCAGCGCCGCCCGCCAAATCTGCAAATCACAAAATCGGCGAAATTTGGAGACTATCGCGAGGAAAAAAGAAAGCGAGCCAGTTTTCTAGAGAGAGCCGGCGCCACTCGTTTTTTTCTTTCTCCCCCCTTCCCACCCCCACTCTTCGAACCTTGTCATACGCATCGCAGGCAGAAGGAAGAAAAAAATCGTTCGACACTCTTTTACGTTTGTCGAGACATTTTTTTTGGCCCAGTATGGCTGCCGCAACGGAACGGTTTTTGCACCTCGCTCGCCCGCTGGCGCACACGAACATCGGGCTCCAGACGAACATTGCCCCGCTTAGTGTCCAGATCCAGCCTCAGGTATATAATGCACCATCACGAGAGAACCCCTCCAGTTTGCCTCGATATGGGACCGGGAGAGGCATAAAGAGGGCATAAAGAGGAGGGGAGGAGAAGGAAGAAACAAGTTCATTGGCTGATGTGTTACTGTGGCTAGGCTGTCCTCTCCATTCTCGATCACGCCGTTCGACGAGATGTCCGTGAAAACTCCCAGTCCACCCGGGTCATTGGCGCCCTGGTAGGCACTCGCTCCGAAGATGGAACCGAGGTCGAGGTTCGCTCGTGCTTCGCCATCCCCCATACCGAGGAGGAGGACCAAGTCGAGGTCGACGTCGAATACCAGAAGAACATGCTCGCCCTGGTCCTCAAGGCCTCCCCCCGCGAGTCCCTGCTCGGCTGGTACACCACCTCCCACGAGCTCAACAGCTTCAGCGCTCTGATCCAGAACTTCTTCGCCGCCCCTGACACCGGCACCTTCCCTCACCCCGCCATCCACCTCACCATCTCCACAGAGCCCGGCAAGGACATCGAGACAAGATGCTACATCAGCGCCCCCGTGGCTGTCAACGCCGAGCGAGCTGCCGAGAGCTGCCTTTTCATCCAGGTCCCCCACAAGATGCTGTACGGAGATGCCGAGAAGAGCGCCCTCGAGGCTGTTGCAAGCGCCCGGGACCTCGAGTCACGGAGTGCTCCCCTGGTATCAGATATTGAGAGCCTGGGTCGATCTATCGAGCAAACTATTGGCCTCCTGGACCGCGTCAGCGAGTGGGTTAACGGCGTACTAGACGAGGATGAGGAGCCCAACAATGCCTTGGCTCAGTACCTCATGAGCGCCCTGTCTCTGGCCCCCAAGGTCGACGCTTCTCAAATCGAGCACGACTTCAACAACCACATCCAGGACGTTCTCATGGTCAGCTACCTGGCCAACACCATCCGAACCCAGATCGACCTGTCCCAGCGACTGGCCACGGCCAACCTGGTCAGCAACGAGAAGGAGGAGGGCAAGGGTGACGGTGAGAAGGGTGGCCAGCGCGGAAACAAGCGTGGCGGACGTGGAGGTGGTCGAAGCGGCGGTCAACAAAGAGAGCCCAGAGAGCCTCGCGAGCCCACCGAGTAAAGGACACGGCGAAAGTGATATTAGCAGCTATATATAACTGTTTCCTTGGGCTTAATTTGTTTTTTTCTTTTCCATCCCCGGCAGCTAAGCCCTAGAAGGAAAGACCCTACGAAGGAGAGGGAAAAAAGGAATATGGAAGTGGAAAAAAGGAGTCCGCCTGAGGCGTCTTTGGATGGACGGATGGGAGAGGAACTGGGCATGTATCGTGGCATTGTCCCAGCAATACACAGACGCACGAACACAGTATCATCACGGCGTTGTGGTATGCCAAACTTGATTTTGGCACTTGAGATATTAGATATGAATATTGATTCGTCACGCAGTCTCTTTCTGACCTAGTGCTGCAAGCATGGAAAACTGAACTGCTCTCGATGTAGAATGATGAGTTGTGATGTTGGAGAGAGACAAAATTTGAGCTTGCTGGCCAATCGCAACCACTAAGACTTGAATAAACGTATGCGTAGTGTATGGTCCATTAAGTGATCCGTACCTGATAATTGCCCACTCTCTGGGTATTTTTATAATATCGTCATATATCTGGCCATATAATCTACAAAATACAACAAGTTGGTTCGCTTCATCCAAAACGCATATCTCACTGTGGTTGACCTCTCATGTGCTGATTGGAGTTTTCAATGCACAAAAAAACATGCGACTCGTACGACGAGCCAAAAGTGGGTGACAAAAAGGTCCTCCAAGTAGCCCCTGTTGATTGAACTATGTATAGATACTTTATGTCAAGCAATAATCTCTGTAGTATCGCTATTCATGGTATGCCCCAACTCCATGCGCCAGTAGGAAAGCAAACAATTATACTAGATGCAATGTACATTTTCCATAGCCCTCCTCAAGGCATCTCACGCAAATGATACCCTCTTTTTGCCCGCCTTGGACGCTTTTGAGCCCGTAAGTGATATGCTCTTCAGGTTATCGTCTCCATCGCCCTTTTCGCTCTTTCTCTTGCGCTTCTTCCTCAGGGACTCCTTGGTGTCCTCAAACTTTGCCTTCTTCTCTGCCGCCTTCTTATCGGCTTCCACTTTCCTGGCCTCGCGAATCTCCTCCATCTGGCGGGCCTTCATTATCTTCGACTCGATGTGGCCTTCTTTTTCGGCTTGCACTAGGGACAGGATTGTCGTCATGCTCTCCTAATCACACAATTAGCACTCAATGGGTTCCCTTCAAGACATAATTCCGTCATGCCGAAGCTTACCTTGTCGTCCACAAAGACCTTGCCCTTCTTCTTGCCCTTGGGCTTTTCGACGCCAATGGGAGTAATCATATTCAAAGTCGGAATGCCCAGCTCTTCGGCGGTGTACGTCTTCTTCTTCGGCCGCTTCATCAACAACGCACGGTTCTTCTCCTTGACCTGCTGCGACACAACGGGGCCCTTTGGCTTGGACTTGGACTTGGGCTTGGAGATGCCATCGGTGGAAGACCGCTTTGCGCCGCCCTTTCCAGGCGCGCCCGCGCTGCTCTTTGAGCCCGCGTGCTTGTTCTTGACCGTCCGCGTCTTGCTGGGAGCCATTGCGAAAGCTCTTGTTATGCGAGATGTAGCAAGTTGGAATTTGGTGGTTTAGTGCACTGTAGGCAAATCTCCAAGCTTTGCTGTCGCGCCGCAGAAATTTTTGGGCTTATCGGTTCTTATCGGTCGCATCGAGGGGCGATAACAGGATTGCCGTGGATAAACAAGTGACTTTGTACTTTGTGGGGTGGGGGATCTCGGTGGTATTGGAGGAAGGCCTGCGGCTTCTAGAATCCAAAACGTTGCGGATTGGACAGCAAGGATGCGTCTTGATTCTCGGTGCTGCGTTTAGAAATGTGGTGTGACACGAGCTATGATTTGAAGGTCCTTGATTTGCTAATTGGCGGATGATATTTAAGACCTGCTATCTATCTGTCCGACTCTGATGATGACCTCACCAGTCTTAATCCAGAGTGCCTAGGTAGTAATGTGAGTGGCCTATCTTGGGCGCCGGAAGCAGCATTCATGTTGTTATCTTCACGCATATGCGCCGACAATGATATCATATCAATACAACACAGTGGTTTTATCTTTCTATATGTCTTTTTTCCACTTATTGCTTGCCAAATGATAATCCTAATGTGCGGTCCTGTTGCCATGCAACGAAAGTCGCGTGCTCCAAGAGGACACGGCAGATTATTTGACACATCACATCAACAAGACATGGTCAGCTCTCGCGCTCGGAAACCAAAGTGTAATATGATCTGATCGATAACAAGGAGGTCATAAAGCTATCAATAATACCACTGCAGTACCTGTCAGTAGCTATTTTGACCGGTATGGAGGCTGAGACATTGATTATGCACTTGTATGCAGCCCCAGAGATCTACAGCATCAACGTTCTCGTCCAAGGTTAGAGCTATTTATGACTCAAAATGTAGTTCCATGCACAAAGAAAAAAAGGATTTCAAATCGGATCACGCAAGGACCCAAAAGTCCAATAGCTCGGTGAGGCCCTATTAAGCCCAATGGGCAGCCATCAGGCTAATATGCGGCCATGTGGTAGATGATGGAGAAAAGGAAAAGGAAAAAGAAAAAAAAATGAAGCAGTGTGACGTGGGCCAAGTCTGTCTAAGCTCGGTACAACACCACTTGTAATAGATCCTTTGTTCTAATTTTTCTGTATTGATTCCTGTTCCCCTTGGGAGCAAGCAAGCTGAATATGTTATGGAAGCCATTCACCAACTCCTGGCCATTTATAAACATTTATCTCCCGTCTCATACCCAATTCCCCCACGGAATGGATCATCAAGAAGCTCCCCATACATCTGCGGGAAACACGTGTAAAACTAGGCTTGCTTTACATTATTGGACAGATCAATTCCCAAGCACCGTTTCATGCGTCAGTAGGTAGCAGCTTGAGACTAATGCCGCACACCACTATGCACTCGCGGGTGCTCAGCTGCTACACTACACGCACTGACAGAAATTTCTACAGGCGTCTGACGCGCTGTCGGTTCCGGCTTCAAGGGCCTGAAAGTGGATTCATGTAGGTGGGCTTCCAGAATGGCTGCTCCCTCCAAAGGCCCCCCAAAAGGGCCCAGGGCTTCTCTCCAAGCCGCTAACCGTAACCCGTAATCGTTTGGTACGGCCGGCAATGTACCGTAAATTTCACCAACCGTCGATGTCACGCAGAATTCTTCTACCTTCAAGAACCCCAAAGATCCACAACCTCACTACATAATTCTCCCCAAACCCGAACAGCTTTTTCGTCGACACATCGCGCAATCACCGCCATCCCTCCGCCTGCATCGCTCTTCCAAGTATCCAACAATCCTCCTCGTCTCGCGACCGCCTCCTCGAAGCCCCTCCATCGCCGTTCCGATCACCAGCTTTTCCAAGCAAACCCCCCTCCTTCTCTCGCTCCCTCCCGCATCGCATAGTTTACAAGTTTGTCACCGACTTTCGAGACCCGCGCATCCAGAAACACAGCATCGCCTCCTGCCACGCCTCATCCAGCGACTCCCTGCGACCTCCGTCTGACCCTCGAAAAACCTTTCCCGAGCGAGGCGTCCCTCCCCTCCCCGCAGCACCGGCATCAAGACCAGACGAATACCCCTAACAAGGCTTAATGGAGAATCTATGGACTCGTCGAACCAAGTATGATCTCCCCACACGTCACCTCCACGGCGAACCCCCTGTGACTGACCTTCCGGCGTCTAGCTCGTCAAAGCTTTCCCTCACTACGCCTTCCAATGGGGCCAACGGCTTGGGGGGAGGTGATCCCGCCTCCCGCAGTGCCACGGTAAAGTCGTCGCATGGCAAATCGAATCCTTTCAACAGCACTCCGGGGAGTGCGCTGGTGTCTCCGACGGGGGGAGCGTCCAGCGCCTTTGGTCTGGGCTCGGGGGCTTTTGCTTCGTTTGGCTCGTTTGGCTCTGCCAAAACGCCAAAGTCTGGCGGGAACCCTTTTGAAACCGCGATGGGCTCAGCCGTCGCCAAGCAAAACGCCTCCAAGGACGCGGTGAAGCCCGTGGCCAGACCACCCAACATGGCGCCCATTTCCGAGTCCAAGGCCGCAGAGCCGCTGCCCGGGGTCACACAGATACACATGCTGAAAGATGCATGGTCTTTCTGGTACAGGCCCCCGATCTCGAAGGCGCACGGTTTCATCGAGTATGAAAATACACTTCACGGTATCGCCACGGTGCGGTCGGCGGAGGAGTTCTGGCAGATCTACTCCCACCTCAAACGGCCGTCAAGCCTGCCCGTCGTGTCCGACTACCACCTCTTTAAAAAGGACATTCGGCCAATATGGGAAGATGAGGTCAACCGGAAGGGAGGCAAGTGGGTTGTTCGACTTAAGAAGGGTGTGGCAGATCGGTACTGGGAGGATCTGCTGCTGTCCCTCATCGGCGACCAATTCGGCGATGCCGGAGAGGACGTCTGTGGTGCCGTGTTGAGCATGCGCAATGGCGAGGATATCTTGAGCATTTGGACCCGAACTGACGGCGGTCGCGTGCTCAAGATCCGGTATGTGTGATCTTTCTTTTATTTTTTTTCTCCCCCCTGCATCTCAACTTTTTACGATCCAGTCAACTAACCCCTTGTTTGCCGCTTTAGCGAGACTATGAAGCAGGTTCTCAACTTCCCGGCCAACACCCGTCTCGAGTTCAAGTCGCATGATTCTAGTATCCAGCAGCGAACTGCCATTGACGAACAACGTCGCGAGAAGGCCAGTCAACACCACAATGACAAACGCCACACAACCAACGCAGCCAAGCAGACCTACGAATAAAGAAGAAAGAAAAGCTTGACATCATCAAAGGCTCGCACAGCCTTTAAAACCTCTCTTGTGATCTTATTTTATGCCGCCAAACTGTGCCATGTTTTCGTCCTTACTTGTCGGCTATGATGGAATTTTCCCCAAGTTTATGTGTACACTACCGGGCAGAGCGCTTGGGTATGTTGCAGACCCGTTGTTTTGTTGCTTTTCGTTGTTTTCGCTTCCTGGTTTTCTGTACGTCCTCTGATGTTTTTTTCTTCTTGTCTTTTTTTTTTTACTCTATATCTTGGGTGCGGCAGTTTTTCGTGTGATTTCTTTCCGCGGATGGAAAACTACTGGGATGTACACTGGGAGACAAACTGATTTTTGCTCTACCTGGAAAATGGTGGGCGGAAGGGCGGGTTTTTTTTATTATGTGGATAATGTACTATAGCTTGATGGTTTGAGCACGGCAAGCCTGGCGGCGGCCTGTGTCTTACGAAACAGAAAAAAAAGGACAAGAAGGAATGAAATAAAAAAGATGCTCTTGCGCAGGCTGAAGAGCCTGCGAGTGTCCGTTCTATTTCGACATATGGTTGAGTCCCCCCTTTTTGTTGTGATAATTTCTGCCTTGATCCGACGCCAACGTTATATAGTGGTATTATATGGTGGTATTACATGCACAGCTCCATCATCTACGCTGTTCCTTTTCCTTTTCCCGGTCCTGCTGTCTTGGTGGGCGTTCTTCTTCGCTCCCAGATTTGAAGATATGTCTCTCCAAGATACAGCAGCTCGCTCTGTACTTTGTCGACGAACAAGTCCTGGCACACAACCCACTCGCCCGTGGCTTTGTCCTTGACCTGGACCTTCCAGGTCTTCTTCTCCTCGCCGCTATCCGCAACGTCGTCCCTCTTGCGGACCGCCTCATGGACGACGTTGGCAACGAGATCGTACCATATCGGCTCACCCACGGGCCATTCGTTTGGATTGGGCTCCACGTACGGCGAAACGTCGAGGTTCCTCGCGTCGAAGGTGACGATTGTGGGGTTTCGCTCGGAGACGAATTTGTTCTGTGAGAAGCGCTTGACGTGAAGCAAGAGATACGGCGGGAGCGGGTGCAGCAGACGGTAGCGTTTTCGCTGCGCGTGATGCTCTTGCGCCCGCTTGCCATCGTATTTACTCAGGATGGTGCTCAGGGGAACTTGCGGGATGATGTTCTTTTCCAGCTCGTCCTGGAACAGCGGCGCAGAAGGTAAGTCGAGCGTCAGGAAGAGGAAGCGCACAATGTCGACTTTGACTTCGGCGGCCTCTTCAAAGCGCAGACGATCGCCTGCGTCGGCTCGGGCGGTGATGGCCTGGGATTCGACCTTGAGTTTGCCTTGGAATGTGCGCTGTATCATGGAGCTGCCCGGCTTCGTCTTGCTGCCACCGAGGCCGAGATGGAGATTGTTGAGGAACCACGAGAGGAACTCGACGGGATCTGATTGGTTCGTCAGAGTGAAGCGTTTGTTAGAGAGGAGGGCGATTTCCTGGAGGAGCTCATGCGGTGAGACGTGGGATTTGAAGGCGCGCGGGTTCCAGATCTTGCGGAACAGGATGCTGCATCTCTTGACGAGCTCGGATTTCTTGGAAAAGTCCTCCAGCAAGAAGTAGTTTCGCAGCGGAGAGACGTGTGACAGTGCCTGCACTACCACGTTGAGGTAGTCGTTCTCCTTGATGTTGTTCATGCCGACAAACCCTGGCGTGTACTCCTTGCCGTCGAGCGTCCAGCTGACGTGGTTGACGCGACGGTCCAGATGGATGACTTCATTCTTGGTGTATCTAGGGTCGGAGACGTATTTGATGTCGTCGAGCGACTTGCTCTTGACCTCGTAGCCCTCAGGCAGGACGTAGACTTTTTGCGTCTCGAGATTGATGTACACGTGATGGTCTTCGTCGAGGGAGTGGAAGTAGGCGTGCGACTTTACGCCGCGGCCTTGAAAGTATTTGCCGCAGACGAGGCATGCGTAGACGTTGATGTTGGAGAGGGAGACGGAGCACAGCTTCTCAAAGTCAAAGTCGAGCACGTTGCGGTCAATGGTGTCGAGATAGAGGTCGTCGTATCCGTCCGCCGGCCCCGATTGCCGAACAGGAGCCGACATGGGCGCTTCATCGTCCTCTTCACTGAAACTTTCGCTGTCTTCATCGTCTGGACGGCCGTTTCTTGCGTCGCCGTCTTGCTCGGGGCTTTGCGCATCGTCGTGGCTGTTTGCGAGGGGCGAGTCGAAGTCGCCCATTCGAGATCGCTTGGACGCGGGCGATGCGACGTCTTGAAGCTCGTCGAGAGCTTCGGAAGCTTGTCGTTTAGACATGGCTTGTGATGGAATGGCAAGGGAGAGAAGATGTGTGTTTGGAAAAGAGCAATGCTATGATATGAATTGGATAATGGAAGAGCTTGTGGTTGACTGCCACAAGGCTGAAATGGAAAATGTCAGTGGGTCTGGTAGCCTAAAAGTCAGCGGCATGGGCAGCTGTCATCGTACATGTAGATCGGACGACATCCCATCTCACAATATTCAGTTGAAGCCGAGGCAATTTCCCCATTATCAACAGCTTGGGGACAATGATTGAACTGATAAAATGTAATTTTGTTCATCTAGGTAATCAATCGCATTAAAATTGCCATTAATTTTCCTGAGAAACAGGTAAATTCAACATCTTTCACCTGTCTTTCTCAATTCATGATGTCCTCCTAACCTAGACTCCAGATTTTACTTCTCGGGCCTCACGATTCGTTCAGGTAGAAACATTGTTTACTTAGGTAGTTCCAGCAGTGATAAGTATTACGATAATTGATATTATGACCATGCAATCAGTGTATTACTACCCTTTTATTTATCTAATCCTTTCGCTATAATATGATGACTTTGGAAATGGCCACTTACGTCGACTCGTCCCCCAGCCAGTAAAATACCAACTACCTTATATACTGCCATAAATGTTTATCCTTGTAATTGAAACTCTAACCACTCATGACAGTGTCGCCCTGGAGTGTCGGGGCGAGGCTGTCCATTTCCTGCAGGGTATACTCTACCAGATAGCTTTCGTCCACCAATTCCTCCATGCGCTTGTAGTGTCTCTCAGTGTACACCCTCAGACCATGCAGCACATCCTTCAAGCTCTTCTCTCCCCTTGAGCCTTTGACAGGCAGGTTTGAGAACTTTGAAGCCGGGTAGCTCTTGATCAGCGTCCACAGTATGCGCTGTGCCACTGGGGCTGTGCGAGCGTTTGTGTTCCAGTCTCGCAGCCTCAGCAACAACAAGTATATCTGGTCGTCGGAGAGTGTCGCGAGAACTTCATCAACTGCCTTGATACCACATAAACTGCCCTGTTCGGGCTTGCTAGTTGTGACAACAGAGGTAAAGAGGCCGAGCAGCCGTCCAGGATGATTCAATTGGAGGGCCAAAGTAATGGCTTCTCTGTAAGATCCAGCATGCATGTGGTTCTCAAGCTCCTGTTCTTGCTCGATGAGCTTCAGTGCTGCCTGAGATGCTGCTGCTTGAGTCTCGGACGTTGTATCTTTCCAGAACGTAACGGTAGAATCACCGCTTCCAGAGACGACCGCATTGGTCTTTGGATGCACAGCCAAGGCCCACACTCGATCTTCGTGGTTGTCCAAAGTACATTCAGTTTCTCCAGAGTTTGCATTCCAAATCTTAACGAGCCCATCACCACCGGCACTCGCAAATTGGACCAGTCCTTTGGCCTGTTCCGAACGCGAGGTCATGCTGAGCCAAGCTACCTTGAGAATGGAGTTTGAATGCCCCTCAAATGTACGAATGCACGTGTAGTCTGAGAGATTCCAGAGCTTGATGCTCTTATCACCACTGCCAGTCAGGACAACACCCTTGCCTGTGACAGGGCCATCTTCTCCCTGTAGAGCGGGCATTTGAGCAGGCGAAAACTGCACAGTCCACACTCCTCGCTTATGGCCACGAAGGATACCTTGGACCTCTCCCTCCTCTACTGACCACACCTTGACAGTCTTGTCTTGTGAAGCAGATGCAAAAAGCTGACCGGCATGATGTACATTGATTGCGTTGATGTCTTTGTCGTGGGCTTTTCTTGTAAAGACAGAGCGGGCGTTGGTTTTTTGACCTTGTTGCTGGGGTGTTCGGGAAATCTCCCACTTCTTGATCGTCTGATCTTGTGATCCCGTCAAAAGGAAAGGAGGTGGATGGTTGAGAGGGTCGGTTCGTGCCGCTGAGCCTTCGACAGGAACAGTTTTGGGCAAGGCCACAGCACCAAGAGATTCCGCATGTCCTGAAAAAGTAGCCCAGCACACGTGAGTGTTACTAGCGGGATCGATTCTCCAGAGCTTTGCAGTATTATCTTTAGCTCCAGTGGCGACCCAGTGCCCAGACCAGTCAACATCCAATGCAATTACAATATCCTCATGTCCTCGTAAGAGGGCCACATCTTGGCCAAAGAATGGGGTCTCCGATTTTGTCCACGCCGTCTCCTGAGCACCATTTTCTGATTCAGCTACGGATACCAAACGAATGTCCTCTGAGTTCGTGGCCAGAGCAAGCAGCGAGTGGTCGGGTAAGAGATAGGCCATGTCGATGATCTCGTCATGCGTGCCGGATATTCGGCGGAAAGGCTCAGGTGTGGTAAAATTTGTTGTTGTAGCCTTTGACGATAGCTCGTACAAAGCCAAAGTGTGGTCAACCTGCACTAGGAGAATAAAGGGAAGTTCTGGTCGGTAAATGCCGGCAATGATTCCCTCCTCTTCGCTCTTGGCAGATTGTTTCGGTGTCAGCTCTGAGCCCTTGTCGGTATCCCAAATGCGAAGACAGCCATTGGCTCCGGCGGAGAATGTGAGGTTTCCATCGTCGATGAATCCCGCTGTTTCGACAAGCTCGAGACATGGGACGACTTTTCGAATTTTCCACGACTTCGTATCCCACCAGATGAGAGTCTTGTCCCTGCTGGCCGTGACAAGAGCATGCTGTGCTGGAGAGTAGTCAATCGCCTGTACGTCAGATACGTGGGAGTCCAAGTTGGCGATGCAGCTCCTCTTGTTCAGGTCCCAAACCCGCACTTTTCCATCCTGGCTACCCGAAGCCAATCGAAAATTTGTAGTGGTAGTGGCTTCTACCTCGTCCTCGTCCTCGTCATCTTCCGTCCTAGACCGGCTCTTCGAGCCTTTGGGGGTTTGATTGGGCGTTGCTCGTGCTGCAACCTCAAAGAAACGCAGTGCGGACACCAATACTGATGGTCCTCGGAAAGTATGTGTGACATAGCCACCAGCAATGTCCCAGACCTTGATCACACCATCGGTTCCACCTGTCGCCAGGAGAGTGCCCGTGCGATCAACCGCCAGAACAATGACTGGGGTCGCATGTGGCTTCAGTGTACGGACCAGTGATGCTTCGATCGAATCACCCTCTGAGGACCATTTGAGCACGAAAATTCTCATGGACAGCGATCGGGAACAAACGATGAGGTGGGAACCGGAAGGCGTTACTACACAATGTCAGTCTCTGCATTTTACCAATGTCATACGGGGTCCACGAACGTGTCAATGTCGAAATTGAATCTCCATCCTTTGTTCAATTAGCTTTTCATCCAAGGTCGTCTCTGCCCATAGCATCACTTACGCCTTCAATCTGTGCCAAATGCTTTCCATTGGTGGGGTTTGTTAGAATAGCATCCTCGCCCAGAGTGGTGGCTAGAATCTGCGCCTTGTTGTCAATTGCAACAGATCCTCCGGTATAGATTGGCCGAATGACGCGCTCGACGTCAAACGTCGTCTTCAAGGGCTGTTTCGTCGCCATGGTGGTGAACTCGGCTCGTCGTGAAGAGGAATCTGGAAGCGCAATGCGCCTGTCTGGGAATTATTTTTTGATGCTCCGATAAGATAAGAGCCGGGCTAATGCACAAAGGCGGCGCCGCTTGGAAATGATTGGTCTTGCCTTTGTGCCATGGTTTAACCGCCGCTGACGTTCCGCTTCAATTACAGGCAACTTGCTCCCGTGCTAATCATTGCCAATCCTATTGAATGTATATAGTGAGAGAATCTTGGGGGGCAAAATACATCCTTCAATCATCATACAGTATAGCTCCATCTATACCGATATCCGCGTCCGTGGACCATGTTTCAATGAAGTGAGATGCTGAGGAGCTTGTCCGCTTCGAAAGTCATTCGCTATGGGGATGCAAGGCCCGCTCGTGGCCCAAGCCCTGGTATGAGATGCTATGCTAGCCTATTACCTATCACTTCTGACACTGTTAGGGCCGCTCGCCATTTGACGATGTAGTTCAAGGTGAAGGTGAAGAGGACCCGCGGATACCAAGTCAGCAATACGACCATGGCGGACGTCCAATCAATCCTGACACTATGAGGATCAACAGGGACATCATCCGGTCACACAACCAGGTCATGTTTATTATTGGCATAGCTGAACCTGAAAATCCCGGCCCTGAAGTCGATTCGCAGAGACGACACGGCGCCTACGAAGAAGCAATTGGGCTGAAGCTGGCATCTTCTGCTAAGCGCTGTGTGGAGGCGGTTGGTCTATTTGGTGTCAATGGCCTAAGAGATCGGATTCTGGTGAAGTGCCCTTCCTCCGATCAACGAACCTGCATGTTGTTGGTGCTAATTGTGTATTGCTAGATTTATAAAAGATATTCCCGAATTCCATTTTGGGAACTATATCAGCAAGCGCGACAGGATTTCTCAATCTCTAGGGACATCCTTCCTGGTGCTCCCGCAAACTTGTTATCAAATTATATCGAGTTCTCAGTCGCCCGATTGTGGCTTGGTGAGCAAGAAAGACTGACTGCTCGGCGCTGGTAAGTAATCATCTTCGCGGCAGTAAACTTTGTGTGGAATTACTCACTCATTCCCTTCAGTGTCCATGAAGTGTGGTCATACATCCGAGTTCATCTAGAGCTACACATATCCCTCCAAAGACTTGGTTTGATACCGAGCAGTCAATGGCTACCTAGCCCCTCCTATTTTATCCCCTTTACTCAAGAATCACCGATTGTCGCTCCCCCGCCGCCCGAAAACTTTGGAGTATCTGCAATTCTGCAGTGGCTGGGCAGTGCTTTAATAACTAATGCACCATTTCTTGTTTTTGTTATGACTCAGCGAATGGTTCGCGATTGGAAGCCGCACATATGGGCCGAGACTTTCAAGCGCCTTCCCAGCACAGTTTTCCGTGGTAAGACGATACCACAAGCTCCGCCGTCAATGTCACAGTCTTTCATGAATGAGGCTCCTAGTGAGATTCACAGCAATGAAGGAGGCTCGCCCGTTGCGCCCGTGGATAGCCAAATGCCAACCGACACGGGAAGCATGGAGGTTGTTCGTCGACCAAGTATATTCTCGGCCAGAGGTGATGATTATGGGAGCGATGAGGAGGACAACGATGTGATAAGGGCGACCCTCATCAGTTTTGACGTCGAAGCGACTGAGTCTACGGATGCCCCTCAAGGGTTATGGAGTGCAGAATTGCGGCCAAGCGTTGCCAACACAGATTCAAGAGCGTCCGTCAGTTCTCAACCAACATACTTGGATACACTGCTCACCCAGATCCCGGCGCTGTTGGCATCGCATATGCTTGCCAACTCAATAACACGGTTGTTGATGACCCCATATGATGCAGCCGCCCTGCGTCTAGTGGCACGAGCATTCTGCTTGCGAAATGGCCTACCCTACGAAGACATATGCGAGACTAATCTTCTCAGTGGCTGCACTTGGACGTCACTCATGAACTATCTAGGGACAGAGTATTTGCACCTCTTCCTCACCACCGAGGTCTGGGCGGTTTTCACCGGCCTTTCTCAGTGGTATCATTTTTCCGAAGAAGAGTGGACGGCTGAGGAAGCAAAGAATTAGTAACATACCATTAACAACGGAATCGTGCCATCGGGAGAGAAACAACAGTATCATATAACACATGGGGATGGGGGCTTCTGCCCTCCCCTCGAGTATAACAAATTGGGAAACCTGTGGTTTCCGGCTACAACCTCATATATATAGACTTAGCGGACGGAGAAGCGAGGAAATGAGTTTTAATTAAGTTGCAATAGCATTCGGTCAGCTGCTAAGAGAGAAGTCGGTGTTATTTGTGTGGAGCTACACCGCCTTATTGAAGGAGATGGATTATACGGCCGAAAGTAAATATCGTGTGTATTAACTCAAAGGGTTGAGCTAACCCTATTTATTAAGGACCTCCATCCCATTTTTGCTCTTTTGTCTATATAATTCATAATCTTGTCTATCCGGGAAGAAAATAATGCCTAATGCCCCCTAACTTCGCACAATGTTCATTTTACGTCTCATTGGGTCATAATCAGAGCCAGGAAACGCTTGCGACCTAGCGGGATAATCCATTGGCACGACGCTATCGAGATCAACCTTATACGCCATATGGTTAAGGAAATTACACACCTACAGTGTTGTGTTAGTGATTTGGGGTTCCTTGGAATTATCGACCTTGAGAAAGAGAGGTAAGGGAGTACATACCGGACGAGGGTGCCAACGAGATCCTCCAGGTTCAAACCAGCACAAGTGGCCGCCCAGAGATGTGGTCAGTAGAATTGTGTTGGGGTTCTGACGGAATTCTTCGAATGGAATGGCTTCCTTGACAGCAATCTGCAAAACTGTTAATATCCAAGTTTTTGCTATTTTGGGTAAAAGAGAACGCACTGGGTCATCTATTGCTGAAATCGCCAAGAATGGTATCTTGATGGAGAGAATTGCATCTGATGAAGAAGCATCACGGTAATAAGCAGTCTCCGTTGGATATCCCCATGTGGGACATCTGAGAAAGTATCAGCATGATATCTGGATGACGCGATTGGGAGATATTCTTACTGAATTTGCCGATCGAACTCATATAAATAAGTAACGTTTGCAATAGCAGCGAGATCCAAGTTGGTGTGCTGCTTGAGCTCTTTCTTGTGCCTCTCAATCAAGGATTTCATAGCAGCTACAACGTGTTATGATTCGGTTCAAGCGTGTATTTTGAGAGGAAAACTTACTGCCCATTACTCTGCTGTAGACCTCTTTTCCAATAAAGGTGCTTGTCATCGTCTTGCTCGCAATATCTAGACTGAAGGGATTTGAGCAGGCGATAGCAGCCTTGAAAAGGCAATCCGAACCCTCTTCACCGCAATACTGCCGGGCAGGTTAGCCACTGATGAATTAAGGCATTTAGATCCTGGCACTTACATTCGTTATAATATTGGCACCGAGGGAGAAACCAATACCGAACAGTGGGCGATTTGGAAATGTCTTTCGAAGCCACTTGACAGTCTGGTTTTTCGAGAATTCGTTAGTAAGTATTCATATTTGCGAACTAATTTCGAGCGAACTTGCCTGTCTGATGTCCCATGTTGCCCGTGCATTATACAAGATGCCACTGGTGATTTTGCTGCCCGCGCAGCCTCGAGAATTCACCACGCAAATCTCCCAGCCCTGTTCGGGCAGAGGAGCAATTGTGTGTCTCAGGTAAACCTCGTGAGAGCCACCGGAAAGGCCATGTAGCACCACCAGCATGGGCTTCGCATCGTCGGAGCTGATATTGGCGAACTCTTCTTCTGAGTAGTGGACAGTCCGTGGCGGCAGGCCCTCATCTCGACCATCGTGAGGCTCTACGACAAAATCAACAGCAAAGGATCCGTCATAGGCTTCATGTTCGGCCTGGAAGATTTTGCGCTTGTAGTACACCAGTGGCCCATGCGGCTTCGTTGCTGTCCAGATGGTCTGGATGTGGCCGTTGAATAACAGCGGATTTAGCTGGCATGGCGGTGTGTTTGATTCGCAGATCTTGAGGAGGTCCGTTTCATTGCCGTCCTTTTCTTTGATCGTCCTAGGATTTGGCGAATGAGTAAACTCAATCTTGGCCCTCCCGAGCCACTCCATTTTTGTGAATGTTGAAACAGTTTTGTAACTCGACGGAAGCTACAATCACAGAGAAAAGGCCAGAAGGTGGTACAGTATCAAAAGCAATGGGGGTGATTGAATCTAGAAATACCCCGAGACATCCAGCAAAACTCGGATCTTTATCTAGATGAGAAGTGAACAGCCCGCTTCTTGATAACGAGGGTTGCACATGCAACAGTGTCCATGAGGCGGAACCCCTGCGGGCTGGGTAGACAGTACAGCCATGGCGGTGGCGATAGCTGGTTACGGGAGTGTACACCGTACAGAGCGGTGCCAGTTACTCATTTGACATCAGAGACTGCAGGGGTCCACTAACTTCCGAGGCTTCGAGTAGTTACACCGAACCGCGGCAAATGCTCTGGAATTGATGTTAGTTTGTTGAGGCACGGAGTGGACTAAGACACCGAATGCCTTGCGATGCACTGTATCTTGTTGCTTCATGTTGTTTAGCTGGAGTTTGCTGACGCCTATCAACCACTATTTATATGTCAGATCTGATTGCTTGCGTCTTAGTCAATTCCTCTTCCAGTGCTGAACATGGCTATTGATTTTGTCCCTATTTTTGCGGGTCGATTTACACAAGGTACCTGAGATGCTGGACGGAGTAACTCCCGGCACTGAGTAAACTTAAGGGCACTAGAGGTACCCTCTGCGTCTAAGTTCCCCTCGCGCTGGAGCGACTAGTGCACATTAGGAAGCACCCCCGTTGCCGTGCACGAGATAAATCACGTGGATCAACCTTCTTTTTGGTGTGGGTTCGCACGAAAGAGACTCTACCATGCAAAGCAAGCATCACCAACGCAACGAGTTCGCATCGACGCTCCACGAGATGCGATGCCTGTGACTGTCGGAATCTGCTGGAGAGCGAGAGCCATGATTCTTTCCTGATATTCTATGGCACTGCTTGCCAGGCATGGGGGGAGTGTGAATAGGCGCCCGGCGCTTCTGACTCCCTGACGAGCGATTTGGAGCCTTGTCCCCCGGAATATCGTTTCCCTACACGAGCCGACACGTTGGATGCGGCCCACTGATCAAGTACGGGCTTGCTGGGGCTTACGAACAAGACATGATATAAAGCCGCCAACCCGCGGATGAAGTCGTCGCCAATACCCCACCACAACCTTATTGTTTGCGTCGCAACAGGGCACCTGTAAATCGCCTCACCGTGTCCTTCCTTCGCACGCCTACGGTATCTCGCTGTGATGGCTAGGTTTTTCGGAGGAATCGACTTTGAATATGACGGATAAAACCCTACGCGGTCGTGCAGATATATTGTTCTCTCAACACCAGAGCCCTATTCAAGCCGATATGGCGTCTTCCACTTGTCGAGAAGTCTTGTCACATGTTCAGGCGCCGGATTTGGCGGGATAGAGGCCATTTGCGCATCATATGGACCCAGATTTTATTTCTCTGCTTGCTCAGCAGCCTCTCTCTATAGCCTTGGGGCAGGGATTCCGTTGACTTGGACGCCATTGAGATGCTACAGCGTCGACAGTGACGCTGACCAACCCTGAGGCATCCTGAATGATGATTGGCTACTTGACTGGAGGGGGAATGAACTTTTTAAAAGGAACGAAAAGAAGAAGGAGAAGAGCTACGACACGGGGATCGGGTTAATAACGCAAAACTTGCGCGTTTCATCCCTACATATGTTACGTGGTGGTCAGCTCTCTCACTTGACCTATGCATCACATATCGACGGTCACGAGATAGCTGGCGAAGTTGCGTGGCAGAAGGCGTTAGAATGGCGATTGATGCCCATGGTAAGTCTCGTAAATGATCCGCCAGGATACGTACATAGCGATTTTGTTGCTGGTTGATGACGGCTAGAGCATGCTCTGCTCTGGCTGGTCGAGGTGATTGGCAGTAGCGGGCTGTCTTCTGCATGTCTTGGGGCTATGAAATGACGGGGAGGTGTATGAGAAAACTGCCATGATGGTGCAAGCTTGCAAGTGCATGTCCGGAAGATTGAGTGGCTATTTGGGCGTGGCGGATTCCGGGACAGGACTGCATTGGGGAAGAGCCACGGTTGAGGCTCAGGGCATCCAACGACGGCCGCGAAAAATTCATCATGACGGCGGTCAGCTCTTTGGGGGGATGTTCGGGGCTGTGGCACCAGGGCCTCGGCGCCCTTTTTCTTTTTTTACCCTTTCCTTTTCTCTTCTCTTCCTCTCCCTCTACTGCCCTGCACTCTGCTCTCACAACCCTCAACTGCAGCGCCATTTGTCCCAGGCAGTGGGACGCGGACATACCTCGACCCTTGCTCCTCCGGCTAAGGTGCGGCGATTTACCAGCGCTGCGACGCTAAAAACTCAAACAAGGTGCAGGTCCCAATGGGGCAGACTACATCGCCTCCGCGTCGCCCTCGACATGCTGCCATGAGAGACGACGGAGGAAGTTATGATTACAGAGAACGGCCTCGATCTGGCAGAGGAGTGACATCCTCGGATCGACCAGGATCTCCTCCCCACGGGGCCCGTCACAGCTCGGATTACTCTCGCCAGCACCATCGCCCCAGAGACTCAGCGCCAGCGCACAGGCATCGCTCACGAGACCGCAGCCGGGAATATTCCCGGCGGGAGAGGCCTGCATCCTCGCGCCCGCTTGCGGATTCGGACGACTTGATCCCTCGCTATCGTGAGAGCAAGGCGCGTTCATCTGAAGTCAAGGCCAGGACGACTCGGGGTAGCCGTAGCCGTAGCCGTGAGCGAGGCCGAGATCGAGACCGAGATCGTGACCGTGGGGGACTCGGCTCACCGTCCTCCTCCAAGCGACATAGAAGTCGAAGCCGCAGCCGCAGTCGGTCTCTGAGCTCGTCACGTCGGAAACGCTACAAGAAGGCACACAGTCCGCCACCGCGCGGTCGAGATCAAGGCTCCAAGTCCGAATCCAAAAGACGAAGACACCATTCTCCCGATCGTCGAGGCCCCTCACCGCGTCACCATCGCTCTTCCCACAAATCTCCTTCCCGAGTCGACGACGAAGCCCGCCACCACTCGAGACGACGATCTCACTCCCGCTCTCCGACAAGATCTGAAGCCGACAGGAGACATTCCCGACGCGACTCACGCCACCGTCACAAACCCGAAGCAACTCGAAGCCCATCACGGAGACGGTCGCCACTACCTGCCAGCAGTCGACATTCATTCTCAAACCGTAGAGATTCGCAGTCACGTGTGGCCGAGCCAGCATTGACGGTCCGCACTGCCACTGACGACCGGTCGCGAACCGACGGCGACTACCGACAAGCCAATCGAGACCAAAGGCCTGCATCTCCTATCGCCCATCGTGATCGACATCGAGGCAAAGAATTTTCCGAACCGCATCACACTTCGCGGTCTGACATTGACGACGACATGACGTCTCGGAGCAGTTATCGAGGAGGATACAACCCCACCTATTCACATCAATCCCGCCACAGCAATGACCCTCGAGGATATTCTCAGTCTCCTCAGAACTCGGGTTCTTTTCACAACTCGCCATCTCCATCGTCGTACGGTGCGGGTCGTTCCGGCTGGAATCATCAATACTCCCCCCAACAGTACGTTTCTAGCCAACTATCTGCAATTCATCACTGCTAATGGAAATAAATAGACAATATCCTCCGCAGTATCCTCACAGTGGCCCTCCTCAGAATGGATCACAGAACCATTACCATGTGAATTCGCTGCACTCCCCCCCTTATGCCGCACCTACTGGTCCTCAGGGTAACTACCGAGGGGGTCATCGAGGGAGTGGCTTTCGTGGCGGGCCCACCGCAAATCGAGGTGGCTATCGTGGCACTGGCTTCAAAAGCACCTCTAGGAACCCTTCATTCCAAGCGCCGCCGCCGCCACCTCCACCTCCCCCTCGAAGCAATGGTTTCCCATCAGATGAAGAAGTTGATCAGAGGTCCACAGCCGTAGATGCGGATGCGGGTGCTGTGGCAGACACTGAGACCCATGATGCTCATGAAAATGCCTCTTTGGATCGCTCAGACGATGCACCACCAGCCCCCGCCAACCATACTACATCCAAGGATGGTGCTGAAGCGTCATCACAAACTGCACCCAAATCGGGAAGTGGTGCTGGCAAGTTCAGCTTTGCGTTTAAGCCCTCCTCTAAACCAACCCCCGCGGCTCCGAAGCCTGAGATTTCCCAAAAGTTCAACGCCGCACCCCCAAGGAGAGAGCCTGTACAGCAGGCCCAACCCACTAACCGTGAACGTGAACGCGAACGTGACCGGGACAGGGACAGGGACCGGGACCGAGAACCTCCGCCAAGTGCACCCACTGAGCCGTCTTCCGCGCGTTCCCGGCGAGAGTTTAGGAATCCTCCCGAGGGACCAAAATTGGCACCGAGAACGCGGAAGGTGATGAAACTTATGAAACGACCAAAGCCGCGACCGACTCTCCCCGACGACTTGATTGAATCTGACTCAGTGTTTTTCAGAAAGCCCGGAAATGAATCCGTTGTCGGCTCAGGGACATATGGAAAAGTGTTCAAGGGGCTCAATGTATACACAAAGGGGCTCGTTGCTCTGAAACGAATTCGTATGGAGGGCGAGAGAGATGGCTTCCCCGTGACAGCCGTCCGAGAAATCAAACTGCTACAATCGCTGAGACACACCAACATTGTCAATCTTCAAGAGGTCATGGTAGAAAAGAATGACTGTTTCATGGTTTTCGAGTACCTCTCTCATGACTTGACGGGTCTGCTCAACCATCCTTCCTTCTCGCTAGATTCAGCTCAGAAGAAGCACATGGCCAAGCAACTTTTCGAAGGGCTAGATTACCTTCATGAGAGAGGTGTCCTTCACCGAGACATCAAAGCTGCAAATATTCTTGTTAGTAGCGATGGAATATTGAAGCTGGCAGATTTCGGACTGGCTCGGTTTTATGCGAAACGACACCAGCTGGACTACACGAATCGGGTCATTACGATCTGGTACCGCTCACCGGAGCTCCTGCTGGGAGAAACCAAGTACACCGCTGCCGTCGATGTTTGGAGTGCCGCCTGTGTTATGGTCGAGATTTTCACTAGACTCGCCATTTTTGCTGGAGACGGAACAGAGCTCAGTCAGCTGGATAAGATATACAATGTTCTTGGGACGCCAACCCGCCACGACTGGCCTGGAATCACAGACATGGCGTGGTTCGAGCTGCTCCGACCAACTGCTAAACGAAAGAATGTCTTTGCGGAGAAATACAAAGACAGAGTGTCTCCTGCTGCCTTTGACTTGCTACAATCCATGTTCTGCTACGACCCGGCAAAGAGGCCCACGGCATCCACGATCTTGCAACACCCGTACTTCACTACCGAAGAGCCACTGCCTAGACAGGCAATAGAGTGAGTTCAATCCCCCTTTAGATTGGCTATCTTGTCTAGGACATTCTGTTTTACTAACCTATAATAACAGACTAGCAAATATTGGTGGTGATTGGCACGAGTTTGAGTCGAAAGCGCTGCGAAAAGAAAATGAGCGGCGAGACCGGGAGGCTCGCAAAGCAGCCAAGGACACTGCCCGTGAAAAGGACAAGAAACGCGTCCCAGAGTCTCATGATCGCGAGAGGAGTGCCAAAAGGATACACGTCGATCAGAAGCCGGCGGATAACCGAGGTGGTACCGCTACAGCAACGGCTACGACAACTACGAAAGAATGAATTGCGCAGCTTTCTCTCTTTTCTTCAAGGTGGCATTGTGGGAAATTTTTACTTGTTTGATATATAGCCGGCTTTCCCTTGCTCCTAGCTCTTTGAGGTTTGGAAGATGGGACGGCGCTGTCAATGTAGTTTATAATGCCGTACATGTGGCATGAAAGGTTTCGTTTTCGTTTTCGTTTTCTCTTCTTTTCACTTGAAGGTGTTCAAAAGGGTATATCTGGCGTTTCGTGGACGTGGAAAGCTTTCCTAAAGGGAGAGGTGGCATTGCATGGCAGAGAGAGACTTGGCTCTGCGTCGTTGTTTATGGCTTTGGGAGGGATGTAGAAGAGAAGAAACCCAGGCTTCTGGCGGGAAGTTAATATGCGAAAGCTGTTACGACGAATTAAGCTGTGTTGTGCACTGTGCTACTGGAATTAACTTCCATTCCGACTATATATGCATCGAATCTCTTGAAGAAAAAATCCACGCATTACCTTGTGTGATGTATAGGCAAGCTAAAAGAAACAGCAAATGCAAAGAAATCCAAGTCATTCTGAGAATGTCGTCCCACCGTCATAACATCGTCAATAAATTCATCATAAAATGTGGTATCATAAGCTCTTTTCTCATGTGCGGGTATCCCATCAAGTAATCCAAACAGCCAGCCAGCCAAAATAGAAAAAAAAAGAGAAACTAAGCAAGAGGGTCGTTTTGTGTTCTCCTCCTCTTCCCTAGTTACCTATGTTTGGTATCATATTCGATCATTTCTGCGGACAGACCATGCACCTTTTTCGACCGTCCCTTCACCCATTGATCCATCTAATGCCTCTTTTCAGTACCGATCAAGCAAGGGACTATTGAAGTATTCCCTTTCCCTTGTAGTCGGTAACCTTTAGGAGGTCTCGGAGACTCCCCTCAGCAAGGCCCTTATTATGATGGGTGGACGGATTGGAAGATGGCTTCCAGGGCATCCAGCCGTTGATCATGGACAGAATGCCACTGCCTGCAGTGTCTATCTTGGTGTGCGTAATGGCTCCCTTTGCAACAGAGAGGCCGTATTGCTTGGGATGAGCAGGTGTCTCCTTGACTAGAACGACAGGGGGCCCCTCGAGAAGCTCCCCTGGGTTCGTGCGTATCTCGAGCTGACTTGTTGATTCTTGGGGCCGCGCTGGCTCACTGACGAGGCCGGTGGCCGATGAGCGTGGAGAATCTATAGCCGTGCCGTTGACTCTGGTAGAAGCATCAATGAGAGCAAGGGACGATGAGGATTTCTTTGGAGCAGCATCCTCGTGTTGCGTGTCACTTCGCTCATCGAGGGTTTCGCTAGATGAGGTGCTGTGAGAGGAGTGTCCTGACCCTTTCAGTGCCGCCCGACCGCGAATTTCCTCGGCGATCTCGGACGCAGTCTTTTTCCTGCCGGGCTGTTCTTCATCTGAAGATCGACTGGACGATATGATTGTTTCCAAGGTCCCTACAGCTCTGCTGTTCCTGCGAGCCATGCGTCTCCTCCTACGGGTTGATGCTCCTACACTATGTTCGTCGTCGGTAGAGACTGCCTGCAGGGTTGGGCCTTGGGAGTCATTCAACTGGGCCGAGGAAGTAAAGAAGGAAGCCCCAGATCCATGGGGGGTATAATGGACTTCGTATTGATTGCTCAGCGAGTACCTGGATCTGGCACAAATCTCGGCAATCCGGTCTAGATCAGCGTTGATATCACCAGCAACGCCACCACCCTGTGCTTCGATATTGGCCATGAAGCTCTTGAAGCTGAAGGCTTCCACCGGGGGCAGGCGAGCTTCGTCCTCGGCACGGCCGTTTACGGGTTTCTTTCCAAAGGATAACACCATGGTGCTCAACATGCCGGGCTCTCCGGAGACAAACCTAGAAGGGACGCCGGCGACTGCTTCGGCAAATCGGCTGACCTGGGACCCGGAGCCGACACCAGGACCGGAGACGGACGACCCGTGAGCGATGGGACCACGAGACGAGCTAGACGGCCTGCTGGACGGCAGCGGAGGGTAGTAGCTCCGGACAATGACGGGCTCCGAGTATGTGCTGCTCTGGGCGCCGGTCGACTTTGCGTAGCGATGGCTCGGGAAGTTGTGGTTGAGCTCTCGGAGGGCGGTGGTGCGGTACTCTACGGTTGAATCATCGACGGGGATCGGCTTGCCTTCAGCAGTGGACGGCACAAGGCTTGTCGGAGACGGATTGGGCTGGATGGAACGCCTGAAGGAGATGGGGAGGGAATTGCCGGCACCACTACGAGGTTCAGTGGTGGACGATGATGACCGAGGCGACAGCAGAGATGAAGACTGAAGCTGCAGCTGGGATTGAGGCTCAGACTGGTGTTGAAACTGAGACTGAGACTGAGAATGAGAATCAGGCTGAGGTTCAGGTTGGTCTGACGGCGGTTCAAGGCCAAAGGTGGGTAAAGACATGATGGGCTGAGAAGATGCGTATCGGTGGTTAAATACGATATATGTAAGGCCAGGCAGGTTGGGAGAGAGTATTGGGGTGTTGGGCTTCGGCGACGATCGGTCCAGGGTCTCAGCAAGACATCGGGCGCGGCAACATGCAAGCTGTGCAGCTCCGAGCACTCCAAGGCATCAATTCGTGTCGTTCGGACAAGGTCCCTGGCCAGGCCCGGTACGGTTTGGTCTGGTTTGATCCGGTCTGGTCTGGCTTTGGTTTGGCTTCGACAGGATGGGATGGGATGGGGGAAGAGGAGGATACTGGACGGATACGTGGTAGGGCCGTAGGGTGTCCCTCGCTAGTGACAAGAGTGGCACGACAGTGACTGTAGTGTAGCGTTGGCGGAGTCTCACACAACGACTAAGGGCCAGCGTAAGGCAGAGAGATGCAGATGCAGATGCAAGAGGGTGCTTGAAATAGCAGTGGCAAGCAAGCGATGGGGGTGGTGTGGTTGGTGGTTTGGTGGTGGTAATAGTGGCGAAGCAGCAGCAGACGAAACGAGGGAGAGAGAGAAACGCGCAAGACGGGGAGAAGATGACAGAACGTTCTCAATCTCTTCGGCTGTTAAGGGAAGTGATGGTGTAGTCGTAGTAGAATAACAGCGCGCAAGTTGTAGTGAGGGGCAGGACAGAGACGCGCAATTGGGCCAGGCGATCAATTCACGAACACGCAACGCCAAACCAAAATCACCAACAGGCGTGGGCGGAGCAAAAAGCAAAAAGAACGCAACACGCACTGCATTTCGAAACTGCACAAGCTGCATAAGCATGCAATGGCATATGCGAAGCGAAGCAGCTGCACGACCGTCGTGGCCGCTGCTCAAAGGGCTTCTGCCTTCCGGCGCCGGCCGCTGGGGGAAGCGTCTCGCCTCTGCCTACAGAGATTTTGGCTGAATTTGCCCTCGCTCGCCCATCCCTGCCGCAGCTGTTTGCTGCCGTGGGCGCCGGCGATTGGCTGGAGCGAAGGCATCTCGACGTGTTCGCCGACTGAAGCGGAAAGGCGCACAGCAGCGGCAAAAGCGATGCGCTCCAAAGAAGCACCTCGAGCTGCTGTTTTGCATGGCCGAGGCCAATCACGGCGCTGGGAGATGATGCTCATCACCAATTGCTTACAGGGTACATGCACGGTTTGATGGTTTGGTGTTCGATTTCGATGTTGATGTGGGCACTGCCCAGATGTTTTTGTGGGTGAGATGAAGAAAATTGATATCTAGGATATCATGGTGCTTGCTAATTGGTAATTGAAATGCTGCGTTCCCCCAAGACTCTGCATATATCCAAGAGCTTTGGCCCTTTCTCCCCGCAGTCGTCTATCTATACCTACCTAATCAGCCGTATCATCAGCACCAGCATCAGTTGTCCGTGCTTTGTACTGTAAACAGACCCCAGCCCATTGCTCCGTGCTTCCTTTTTTTTTTTTTTTTTTGTCTCATTTTGAGCTGTCACAGTTCGGAGGATTGGGGCAAGTTTTGCGGGAGTGGGGAAGCTCAGCTCCAATTCGTCAAAAATCCCAAGCTCTGCTCCGTCGACGCACATTGACTCGACAGCTTATGCTGGGCAATAAATGCATGATTCGCAAAGTGTTTCAGGCCAATGCATCTTGCGGTTTATCGCTGCCATCCGATTGGCGTTGAAAATGCCTTGCTGGCCGTCTGTGCTGAATCTACGGACGAGATATTCCGTGGCAGAAATCTTCAGACAGAAGCGCAAAGGCGGAGATGCTTGGCCGGGGTGATGTCATCCCCCAATTCTTCACCAAGCTCATATACATACAGCGAGATCTAAATGATGTTTCCATGCCCATTACTATTATTACTACATAGCAGTTAATGCTATTTCTGCTCCCGTTTAGATACACTTCACTCACGCAGGGCATGACTTTCAGCCAAGACTTTCAGAACCAAATTGGTTAGAATGTCTACCAGGCTACGCGCCTGCGTTGCGAGTTCATTCGAATCGACTCTTGTCCCTTCAACTCAACGCAACTCAACCCCTTCTGATCCATGGCAACAGAACCCATGATGGTTGAAGCGGTGACTCTCAGCATGCTTCCTGGATCATCTTCCCTCTTCATTGTAGGTGTACGACAACTCAATGCCCCATGCTGAAACAACGGCACTTAGGCATAACCCTGGTTTTGACCTTGGTTGCTATAGCCTTGGTTGACATAGCCTTGGTTGTTGTTATAACCTTGGCTATCATAGGGAGGGCCAGCGACAGGCGCACCGGCACCAGCAGGCGCACCGGCAGGCGGCGGTGCCATCGTTCCATAACCTTGTCGACGGCCTTGCCCACCCGTTTGCACCTTGTCAGAGTAGATGCCGGGAGCACGACGCGGCGGATAATGGCCCTCGCGGGCTTGTTGTCGACGGTCGTAATAGACGTATTCGAGATAAAACGCATGTATATGACCCGGGAAATAACCAAGTATCGTCAAGCATACGTTAATGAGTAGGTCCATTCCACATCCTGCCACAGCCCATGCGCCGAGCGGAGGGACTACAAAGCATGATTAGCAAGTATTCGCCAACTGTCATTTGAGACGGCCCTCTTATCTGGACTTACAGAAGATGGTGACGATGACAATTAGTACCGCGGCACAAGCACCCATGATGGCGGTAGAAAGTCGTCGCAAGTTCTATGAAGGTTCGTTAAGAGGTTGATTGGCTTATTGACGTGTAGTGGCTGCACTGCACGGGTAGCTTTCGATTGCAAAGAGACAGTTCGCGTAGACTTGAATTCGTCTTTCTGAGGCCTGGAGGCGAGTCTTTACAAGATCAACTGTTGCGACGGCAATCAACCCAAAAGATGAGAGACTGGCTCTTTTAATTGCAGATTGGAATGCGACAGCAGGTTAAAGTTTTAGCCTCTATTGCGTAACAAGCTTGCGTGAAACTGATCATGCCGTTATTGAGTTCACGCAATCAACCACCATCAACCGCCTCTCTAGGCAGTGGCCAGGCAGTGGCCACCCGCGATGTGCCAACAATGACGCAGATCTGGACGAGTGGATGACGTAGGCGCACGTGGGCGACTTTTCCGCTCGCGATCAGGAAGGAGCGTGGCTTCCTCGTAGGTCCAAACTCAATTGATTAACGGTAGAAGAAATGGAGCTGTCAAGAAGAATTTGAGAAAACTTTAAAAAACTTCCAAGTCCTTTTCTTGAATCCGATATTCACAGCTGCCCTGTTATTACTTCTTGTCCCCCAGCTTCACACTGATCCATCAAGCGTGCATATAAAGAGAAAGACAAGACGCCAAACTTCGCCCAAAGGCTGCGAAAGCTTTTCCAATGCTTCCAAACCTTTCAAACTTTCCGTCTCTCGGCGAGGAAGAGCACTGTGTAGAAGATTGCTACAGTAGCAGCCCATCCTATCATCTTGGTGGGGATGGGAGGATGGCCTGTACAGCTTACAATCCCTCGTCCAAATGGGTACTTGTCCCGCAGCATTGCAAGGTAGCCGACCGATAGCCGGACCATGTTGCATCTTTCAAGCTGAGACGTGCTGACTTCCTTCTCTTCACAGTCCAGGCAAGCGTATCCTACACAACGAGTCAGGATTGCACCGGTCTCCAAATGTATGACCTTCCGGCGACTTATAGCTCCGACGGAATCGAGCCGTAACTCCTGGATTATGGACATTGCCCTTACAAACAAACGAAATTCCCGACCAGCCCCTTGGCTGGTGCTAGAACAATGATGTGCGGGGAGCAGAGGTGAAACACTGCTGGACTTGTCTCAGCTGAGAATCGGAGTAAGAGCAGCCAGTCTCCGGCAACCCCTGCGGCATGCGTCGAAGCTAAGAGCATGACAGCCAAGCAACGACGATTAAAAACACTGGCATCTAGTCGAGCTCACTAGTGCATCCTTTGCAATTCCCAGAGACAACGACGACTGTTACTATGAGGATGAGACACACAGCAGTTAGTACTGCGGGACTGGGTCAGTTGGCAATACCCATCGTATACGAGTCCTACAAACTACAAGACACTGCGGTTCCGACATCGTTCTAGAAACTGATCTGGGTCAGTCGGCAGCCCGCCACTGTGCAGGCCTCGTGGTTGGCCTGAGCTCCGAGAGGACATGCCAAGGGAGGAAACCCCGCTGCCTTGCCCACCCAAGACAACTTCAGACGCGTCTGAGAGTCTGCCTTGAAAGTACGCTAAAATCAGAGCACTTTGTCCAAACGAAACAGTGCTTTTTCTTATTTTCTTTTCTTTTTTTCTGACCCGTCATCACGACATTACAACGGTCTTTGCCGACGCTGAGCGCTGTCCGAGGTACCGGGAAGCTTAACCTTTTACCCGTGACTCAAATCGGATCATTTCCCACTCTTGAGGCCTGCCCAGATGGCTCCTCTGTGAAGTCGGTAAGGCGACTCTCCTTTTTTTATGTGGAAACAATGACGAGAAGAGGCCACTCGTCTCTCGACCTTGCTTCGAGACGTCTCGCAGAGCGGGTATTCCCGACATACCGACGCCCATGCGGGAGTAGATACCAGTTAGTGTGGCGACTAAAAAGGTCGGGTTTGTGACGGACACTATCATTCTGGACACTAGCCGCTGCTTCAGAGAAAAGAGGAAAAAAGGACGCCATGCCCCAGTCAAGTGCTGTTGTACGTAAGTCGGACTCAAACGAGCGGCTGATAGTACTTATTACCAACAGAGCCGTGTTTGATATAAAACAAGGGCAGCGCAACTACAAGCTTTCGTGGACCATGCCTGTATACCGAATATGGAGGAGAGAAGAGTGGCTCTTTTCTCAAGAGAGGCTTGATTGCATGAGACTGGTCACTTTTCTCCCAACAGAAGCTCCTGTCAAAACCTGATTCAGCATGATGCCGCTAGGGTATCGCACACTGTATTGACCTCCGCGCACAAGTGACCAAGTGCAGGACTCTGCAGCAAATCTCAACGTGATACGTGGGATGGATACTATTAGTAGCAGCAAGCACAAGAGTCCTTGGCCACGAAACAATGGAGAGCCGCCAGAGATCCGCGCGATAGAGACCAATTCTGTCTCGCCACACAGCGCCAGTGTCTTGGTTCGACGCAGCTGGCCTGCGAGTGCATAGTGGAACTCGTCTTTTGTCATGCCAGCTAGCAGTCGTTTATTATGCATAATACGCCAACGGCTGCCGACTGATTGATTTGGAAAGCTGGCGGGCTTCTACTCGCAGCTTGCCATCCTGGGCCCAGTCCAAGTAGTGTAAGAAACCGTACTAGCAGGATTACAATATGCCAACTCGCTTGCGGCGGTGAGAGGTCCTCCTATTTCCAGACGGAGCGAGGACCAAGATGCTACTGCTGCTGATGATGCTGTTGCTGTTGTTTCCTGCGGAGATGGTGGCCGTCACCTGGTCATGCTGATCATTGATGAGACGATGATACTCGCCCATATTTGTATTGGATACTGCATGGAACGGCATTGGATGGGACCCAACAGCAGGAATTAACGGATATCATGCGTATCCAGTGCTCCGTATTCGACTGACACTTGACAGCTCTGGTCCTCGCTGCGTCGTGCCCAGATAGATATACACGGGCGAGCCAGAGGCCGTGCAATTGGTAGCTGGCTATCTGGCGTGTACTCCAAGGTGGAACAGCTTCTCCTTGCTTGAGATTCGCCTATCGAGCCAAACCAGCTGCACTGCGCATAACCTAATATAGATCTGGGGAACTTAGTAGGCAAGGCTGCGACATACATGTAAGGTAGTGCCGTGCCTGTACCTGAGCATGGAGGCATTGAAGTTACGGTGTACAAGTCGCAGTACATAGACCTGCCGAGACCAGCGGCGCGGCGGGCATGATTCAAGGTTTTTGATGGACATTGCCCTGGGACGGCCAATGGCTTCGGACCTGGTGCGTCAATACGAATTCGAGTACCTGAGTAAGGTTTCAATTAGCTTCTCTCATATGACAGCAGGACAGCATCATTTGAAAGGTATCAGACTCGAGGTCAAATCTTGAGGTACCTACCTCCTAGTACCTTGTAGTACCGGGCTGTCATTGCTTTCCAGGTACATGTACCATGGGACTACGGGACTACGGTGACAGGCATTGACGGCACGCTGTGAGGCTCTACCCATTGATCCATCTAGCGAGTCCCTGTACGATACCTGCACGGTAGACACATGCACTCTGCTGATGAATTCTCCCAATATTGCCGTCTCCGACTTGCCGGATGGCCGTGCCCATTGGGTGGGACGCTCCAGCCAGCCAGCCCCCGATAAGCGGCCCAGGTAGCACCGCCGTAAGGGTTCATTGTTTCCCGCCAGGTTAGTTGGGGGACGCTTTAGCAGGGCTAGCAGGGTTGCGGCACAGTCGAGCGCCTGAGCTGGCCAGCTGGAAGCCACTGAGACGGGTCCACAGAGGCCCTGAAAAGGGCCCGTCAACGGTCCTTGTTACTGTAACGCCCGCTAGAACCTGAGCAGGTACCTGAGCTAACTTGTACAGTAGCCGCTGCGACAAGAGAAAACTGCTGGAACCACCAATTTCCCGCTCTCGCCCAACCGGCCTCTTCCAATCCTCCCCATTCTCTCTTTTGCAGTCTTTCTTCATCTACTTCAAAGCTCGACTGTTTCGAGGGTGTTGTTGCGCATTCTGGCAGGGCGCGGCCAATCTTTTCCCACTCCGTCGACCCTTCATTGTGTGCTCACCAGTTCTTCTCTTCTCCCGGCCGCCACCCGAGCTTCTCGCTTTTCCCCGGCAGATTTTGTGTTTTCTGACAACGCCTCCTGAAGCCTCGTCACGGCTTCTCTCCCATCGCCCTTTTTTCCCGCCCGTGAAATATTCGAGCCGGCTGGGGTCCAAGGCTGCCGTTCGCTGTTTCTGCACTCCTATCCCCCCTCTCGACGACCCATTGCGAGTGGTCCGGCGATCGCCTCTCCGTCGATAGTCGCTGCTCTGCGTCTTGCATACGTTTGTTGGCTCGAGCCGGCAGACCCGTCGCCATCATGTCTTCGCAGCAGCCTCAGCTCAACATCGACCGCTACGTCGTGATCCATGTTGCGACTACCTGCGATGAACACGGTGTCTACGTTACCAAGGATTCCGCCGAAGTCATTGAGCTTGGATGGATTCTCCTTGATGCTAACAGTCTGGAGGAGGTTAGAAATACCTTTCCCCCCCCCCTGCGCCACTACCTGGCCACACCATGCTGCACAGACTGCATGGCTTCCCAGCTGAAGCATCGCTAACCCGGGCGGCCATCACAACAGATCACCCACGAAAGCGTCCTTGTCAAGCCTGTCAATACTCCCATCACCCCGCTATGCAGTAAGTTTTTCAGTGCCGTGCATCCCTTTTTGACCTTTTCTGTCGCGACCTCCCCCTATTGCCTTGCGCTCGTGAGGGCGGGCACAGAATTGGCGTCCAAAAATTCTAAGCTTGCGGCGAATCGTCGAAAACTGGGGCTGACTTGTGATGTTTTCTCCTCGCAGCGAGCCTAACGACTCTGACCTGGGAGCACGTTCGAAATGCCGGTACTTTTAGGGATGCTATCAGTCGATTCGACACGTTTGCTACCGAGTATCTGACGTCCAAGAACCTCGACTTTGTCTTCGTCACGCTCGATGCCTGGGATCTGCGAGTTCAGCTCCCGCGAGAAGCTCGCGACAAGGCTGTCGTGCTGCCTCCCTATCTGCAGCACTCTCGCACCTTCGACCTGCGAACTGAATACCAACGCTGGCAACAGCACCACCCAGAGTCTCTGCCGTTTGGCCCCTCGATGCTGTCAAACATCTGCGCTGCTCTCGAGGTCGAGCCAGTCCAGTCCAGTGCACCTATTAAGCATAACTTGCCTTTCCACCTGCAGGCTCTGGCTCCCGCCTCTCCTCGCCGCGCAATGGAAGAGGCCATTACCTTGGCCCGCGTTCTTCGTGGCTTGATTCGCAAGTCTCAGCCCGCCCAGGATCACCCCGATGTATTGACTCGACCTATGGATGCGAGGGCAGATGTCCGGGCGTTCCTTTCCGAGAGGAGTAAGGTTTTGCACATGTCTGGTCTGCCGCATGATACTACTCAATCCGAGCTGGAGAGCTGGTTCACCCAGTTTGGTGGTCGTCCCATTGCTTTTTGGACTCTTCGAACCCCCGAGCAGCACAAGCCCACTGGTACAGGTTTTGCTGTTTTCTCATCTCATGAAGAAGTGAGTACTTTTTTTCTTTGGATCAGAGTCACAAGGAAACTTGCACACACTCGCCCAGTTTCTATTATTTACAAATATGTATACACAAGTTGAGGAAACTGCCGTAACTAACCACGTCTAGGCTGCTGAGAGTTTGTGTATGAACGGACGTGCGCTGAACGAAAAGGCTATTGAGGTTTCTCCCTCTTCTAGCCGTGTATTGGATCGAGCTCAAGATATTTTGACACCCTTCCCGCCGAGTAAGAACCGCCCCCGACCTGGTGATTGGACTTGCCCCTCTTGTGGCTTCTCCAACTTCCAGCGCCGCACAGCTTGCTTCCGTTGCTCGTTCCCTGCTGTTGGAAGCGGTGCCCCTGGAGACATGGGCCCTGGCGGCTACCCATACCCATACGGCCCCCCTGCTATGATGACCCCTCCTCACCATGGTGGTCACCACGGTCCTATGCACGGTGGACGGATGGGCGGTGGCGGCGTTGTGCCCTTCCGTGCTGGTGACTGGAAGTGTGGAAACGAAGTTTGTGGATACCACAACTTCGCCAAGAATGTCTGCTGTCTTCGCTGTGGCGCCAGTCGTGCTGGTGCTGCCGTTGTTGCGGATTCTGGCTACCCCTCTCCGATGGATAACGGCTCGCAGTATGGCATGAGCCAGGGTTCGATGGCTGGTACGCCAGGTCCTGGCCCGTTCTCTTCTGGAGGATCCTTTGGACCGGGAGGCGGCTACGGTCAACACTTTGGCGGCCCCCCCAGCCATTTCCTTCCCTCGGGATTGGGTGGCGGTGCTGGCGGCTATCCGGGCTCTCTTAACACGCAGGGCTTCGCTTCCGCCCCCGGCTCGCATTCTGCTGGCCCCTTTGATAGTAGGGCTGCCGAGGCGGCTTTCCAGTCTGCGACTAACGGTCCTGTCTCTGGCGGGCCAGGCAACAACTTCTACAACAATGGTAACCCTGGCAACAACGAAAACGATCCCTTTGCCTTCCTGAGCAGTGGTATCGGTGGCCTCTCTGTCAGCGGCGACGCTCGCCAGAACGGTGCCGGTGCTACTCCTAACAAGTCACCCGCCTAGAGGTGATGTTGTTGTTCGAAACGGTGGAGCCAAAGCATCTGCGGCACACGCCGTCTTTTAGATGATGATTTAACTCAACTGGTTACATGTACCATCGGTATATCTTTTTCGTTCCCATGCGACGAACTTTGGAATGATGAACATAGAGCATTTGACCTTGGCAAATACCTTCTGGACCTGGCTTGCTTGCTATTACAAGGGAAAGGGGTTGGTGTGTATTTGGTTTGTTTTTGGAGGAACTAGGACGGAGTGTCGGATATGTTTTAGGCGGGGCTGTGATCTTGTTTCGAGGGCTGGAAGACAAAAGTGAAATACACCACGGCTATTCTGGGTCAACGAGTCTTGTGGTATCAAGCTTTGCTGAGGAAGAAAAAAAATTATTGGTTCTCTTTCGCGCTAGGGGGGCAAACATGGTTCTTGGCAAGGGAAATAAGGTTGTGTGGACTCGATTATCGGTCGGACGTGGCATCTTTTTTGCTGGAATCCTTTGTCCCGGTGCTGGTGCATAGCGAAAGGGAGTGTAAAGGTATATCATGGCCTTGTTTGACTCAATTATCCAGTTCGCCGGTGTCGGATTTATCACTCAGATCTAAGGGGGTCTTTGATTTTGTTTCATCTCTTTCTCTCTTGTCAACTTGCTTTTTACTGGTCTGAAATCTCTTGTCTCCGTTTTCTCCTTTTGATTTCTTTTTCTTCCCTTGATCTCTTTGTCTCTTTTTACCGAAATCCTTTCTTTTAACTTACATAGGACATTCTCTCTTCTCGCATTGTACTTTTTTCCGTTCGCTCGTTTTTTTCTCTTTTTTTAAACAACGTTGGGAAGAGAAGGTGTCAAGGTAGCAGCATTTCACAGGAGCGGGGGAAATTCTGGCGGGAGTTGGGTTGAAATCGAGTTTTGAAGGGAAAACAACACCTTTTGTTTTTGGGACAAATGAAATGGAAACTTTAGGGGAGGGAAAGGCGATGGATGGATGGGAAAGGGGGGAGGAGACTTTCAAATTGGGGGTTGGGTGGTTGGCTACGGTTGATTTTGCTGATGTGAGAATGCTCTGATGTTTTGTAAACGTCCAAAGGATTGTGGACATGAAATAAAAGTAGAGTGAGATTGATGGGATGGGGGGGAGGCGTGTCCTAATATATTGTGTGTTGATTTTTTTCTTCTTTGCAATACTTTCTTGGGGTGTTCATGGAGATGGAGATTTTTGTGTGATTGTCTGTTCTGATGGTGATGTTATATGAGACTTAGGTTCAGTACACTCCATTTGAATATATTATAGTATATAGACTATATTATAGCATATAGGTGAGCATATACTCCATAAACTTGTGTTGCTAGCATAACTTGAATCTTCAAAGTTTACAAGTAACGGCATTGCTGAGCCTTCTTGTCTATCTATCCAGGAGAGCCCTAATCCCCCTTTGTGACAATACAAAAGGGAGTAAATGAGAAATCACCAGGTCGATCAAAATACGTCACCGTAGCCCTGGCCCTCATCCTCGTCCTGCATGATTTCGTCTTGCCCATCGTTGAGTCCGACAGGGTCTTCTAGTAAGTCGGAAGCAGAGGATGTTGGCATAAAGGATTGCAGATCGAGGTCCATCTGTGCGTCGTCGAAAGGGTAGTAGTAGTAGGGGAGTTGGGTATCAGAAGGTGGTTGGAGTTGGAACTGGAAGCCCTGGTAGATTCTCTGTAGGTCATTGTCGTTGCCGTCAATGTCGTCATTATCCTCGACATCTCCTTCATCGTCTTCTTCGTCTTCCATTTCGTCATCTTGGCTTTCTTCTTCACCACCATCTCCGTCTTCCTCCTGAGGCAGAGATGCAGCTGCCCATTGTTGCTGCCGATGTCTACTTCGTAGCTCCGCCAAAAATGCGTCCAGCAACTGCTCGTTGTCAATCTGAGGCTCGGGCTCAGGCTCGGGATGCGAGTTCCACGCCTCGGCTCTCAATCTCTCGTCTCCTCCGAGGTCGGGCACCATGCCTCCCAGTAACGTCTGGTTGACAAAGTTAACCCAGCCTTGAGTGTCATGGACCCCTGGAACGGTAGACTCATGGTCTTTGGGCTGCGGAGGCACGATATAGCCGCGGTTGATCTCCTCGTCGAGATCGAGCGATTCGTCCGAGTCTGAATCCGAGTCATCCAGACTGCCGGCATCGTCGTCTTCGTCTAGAGTGCCGCACCAGGCTTGAGCGCGTAGTCGTTCGTCTTCTTCATCAGACAGAATTTCATCTTGCTGCTGGGGCGTGAGTTCTTCCCAGCGCTTCTTGAGGACGTGCTTTGGCTTCCAATGCTCAAGCGTATCGACGTTGGCAAGCACTTCGTCTTCATCCTCAATGTACATCTCCTCCAGGGAAGGGACAATGTTCTCTCCCGTCTTCCAGTCAAAGTATCCCCAGATCACCATGTGGCTCAGATGGTCGTCTAACTGAAGGCCTCTGCGCACAGCCTCTACTGGAATTGCTTCATCTGGACGGAGGAGATGCATTCGACCTGCTCCCCAGCCTTCTTTGTGCTGCTGACCGACTTCGTGAAGAGGGATACCCTGGATCTGGCTCAGCCCATGGTCCATCCAGTAAGTGCCCTCGCTGACAAAATTGAAGTCGTAGCGTAGCTTGAGATCCAGGATGTCGGCCAGCTTGTTGAATTTCTTGCGGGTGAGTAGCTGCCAGAGTTTGAAGAGGCCTTTCTGGCCCATCATGAGTTGAACTAGATCAAATGTGCAGGGGCCATAAACAGGGTCGTTGAAGTGCATGCCGAGCTTGATGAAGAACATTTGCATGTTGTAAAGATCAGTGTCTTTGAAAATGTGTGCCATCTGCAGCATGGCCTGTCTTTGTTGCGTAGTAGCAACGTCCATGAGAAGCCAAAGTCGCAGCAGCGAGTGATGCATCGTCGATGGCATCCTGTGGCCACACCTAGCCATGATGGCGAGAATCTCCCTGCAGTACTTATCCCGGCCCAGGACGAGCTGTAGATACTTCAGTCCAGGCACCTTACGGACCTTGCTGTCCTTCTTTGGGGAAGTTGTCATGCCTTGATTCAAGGCCATCCACGTTCTCTTCTGAGGATCGTCAACTAGATGCTTTGCGTACAGCTGGTAGTGGAAGACGCGGCCTGCTTCAGGGGCTTTGTATTCGATCCAGGCGCGGACACTGGAGAGCAGATAGCCGTTGATAGCATCGTAAAAACGGCGATTTGCGAGGCACAGGTTCAGCACGTCTTTTCCGTTGAGATGCTTGCCCAATTCCACGGCGAGCTCTACATGCTGGCATATCGCCGAGATGAGGTCTCTGCCTGCGTATGCGATGCTGGACTTTGCTTTCTTTGGTCTCTCGTACGGATCGACGTTGCCAAAATGATCCTCAACGTCGAGGTCGTCGAACTTAAATTTCTTCTTAATCATGCCGGCGACTTCAATCTCCTCGATGGTAACGCGGTTGATGCCCCTGAGCAGCTCAATGTGATCGTCGCTCAGTTCCAAGCCCTCCATGTCATTGTCGTTATGGTTGAATAGCCACTCCATTCCGGTCACATCAACCCCCATATCTTCCAGCTGGTAATCGCGGACATTCTGCGTCAACGGGTCACTTTTCAAGGCTTCATCTTCTTCCGATGCTCGGCGTCTGATGTCTTCGAGCAGTTGAAGGTATTCTTTTTCGTTGGCTTGCGGGTCATTGCTCGGCCCAGCCTCTTCGTTGTTGCCATTCATCATTTTCTCTACGGAAAAGTATGCGTGGGGTAGTAATGATTTGCTAAATAGAAATTCATAGAAATTCTGAGTATCACGAGATGTATTTTGGAGAAAAAGAGAATGTGGAAGGGAGGCGACTGAGTGAATGTTCTTTGGATTGAGGCGTCTCTTGTTTAGCAAGGGGTGTTCCCAAAAATCAGGAAGAGCAAACAAAATTGAAGTTGAAATTTTCTGAGAACAATGTGAGGCAGAGGTGAAATAAAAAGAGCCGTCGGCCAATGGGAAAAGATGGAAGAATAGAACATTAAAGCATCTGTCCGTCGCATCTGCCAACTGTCAGGCGGCTGTCACTATAAACATTTTCGGCCATCTCAGCCAATGTATCTCCATTTTCCTGTACAATTGCATAGCTTTAACCCCTAGCTAAGAAAACATGTTTGCTATCAGACCGTGACTCATTTGGATTCAGAGATAATCACTCATCTCGTCTGCCTCTGAATCTACTATGATCAGATCCGAAGAACGCCTGCGGTAAGAGTCATCCTGACCTTGCAAAGTCACTGTTGTCTCATCTCTCGTATCCTCTTCCATGAAACTCAAAGTCTCATCCCCAAGATTCGCAGTCACAATCTCAGGCTTGGTACGGAGGGATTTCATCTCCCTGGCCCATTGTGCACGAAGTTGTGCCATCTCATGCCAGAGCTTCTCTTCACCTTCATCCTATGAAGATCGACTCTTCTCCCAGAACTTCCACCTCATCTATCGGTCAAGCTCATCAACCGGCAGGTCGCCGTCGTCCTTTCCAACAATGGATTCTGCAACTTTCCAGATCTGTAGCAGATTGTCTTCCGCGGCGCTGGCAACTAACCAAGGTTCATTGGGATTCCAGCTAAAGTCAGCGAGATGGTTCGTATGGCCGCCATGCATAAACAGCCTATTAGTAAAGCAATTAGTTAGCTCGGTGCGAAACAAGTTGTACGGTAGTTTTCTGGGCATATAGATAACTTACAGCTCAGGTGGGCCATCATCCTGGTCATCAGGCAGCTGTTCCTCGCCGACGCGGGATAGATCCCAGAAAATGATTCTTCGATCATAGCTGCCACTTCCCAAGATACCAGCTTCAGTAGGATGCCAGGCAAGGGAGGTAACCGCATCATTGTGACCCTCGAGGGTGTGCACCTTCTCCTTCACATTTCGGAGATCCCAGATTCCGATCGTCTTATCAGCGGAAGCTGTGGCAACGAGGACTTCGGACTTGGGGTTGAAAGCCAGCGCATTGATGGCATCCAAGTGGCCTCGCTTTGCAACAACAGCAGCCTTGTTCGTCTCACTGTGTCGCAAGTCTACGATTTGCAAAGTCTGGTCGTCTGATACGGAGCCGATGAAGTTCTTTGAGATGGGATGATACTGAACATCGTTGACAATCTGAGTGTGGTGAGTGTACCTGCGAGCAGGCCGCAATATCCTCGAGTCTGCTTCGAGAGTTTTCAGATCCCTACAGGGAAAAAGGAAAGAGCACGGTTAGCGGCGTCGTCGCCAGCGGCCATCGACAGTTATACATACCACAGGCACATGGTCTTATCCTCGCTACCAGATACCAGGCAACCCTCCTCGTGGGGGTTCCAGTTGAGGCCGAAACCTTCCGCTTTGTGACCGATGAGCTCAATCTGTGCATTCACCTTGCCCAGACTCGCTGGCTGCAGAGGATGCTTCGTTCGGTCGAAGATGAGGATTTTGCCGTCGACGCAAAGAGTAGCAATAATGTCCGGGTTTTGAGGCTGATAACGGGCCTTGTTGACTTCCCCAGGGTGCTCAATCCTCTGTACGATGTCGCACTTGAGGGCGGCAACATCGCCTGCCTTTCCATAGCCTCCAATCTCGCCTCGTTCCTCGTCGTAGTCGTTGGGATTCGGCGCCACAGCTTTGGGTATCTGGACATCGGCAATTTGAAGGAAGTTGGCACTGTCGTCAGAAGTGTGTGTTCCGAGCAAAAGACGGTGCATGCGATAGTTTTTGCCCTCGGGTTCCTTGACGTCAGGGAACCACTGAACGGTAAGCGTGGGCCAAGTCAGGGCAGTCCTGGTGTAGAAAGGTTAGAGCAACAATTCAAGTCTAGAACCACTGCAATTGGAGAATCCACTAACCCAAGAATCATGTCGTATAGAAACGGGCTGTTCTTCTTCCACGTCTTGTACTCTATACCAAGTTGAGATCAGAAGGCTGCACAATGTGAAGCTCGGTCTGGGTCGAGATAGCCGCTTACCCTCGTTGATGAGTCTTTCCTCCTGGTCATCTTCCTCGTCGTGTACCATGTTGACTATAAGCACATGTTAGCACCTGGTATCACACGAAACAGCTTCAATGGCTACTAACCATCCGGGTCGAGCTCAGAGCCTTGAGGAGCCATGATGGATGAGGGGCGTTGAGTGTAGAAGAGAGGCGAAATATCAAAGGATACAAAAATTATTGAACTGCGATTATTAAAAGAAAACAAGAGCCCGCGCTTCGCATCCAACAAGAGAAGCTTCCGGGCGTGGACGCAGCGATAGAGAGGGAGGAGAAAGGAAAAGGCTGCGTTCAGAGAAGAGAAGCTTGAAAAGCACCCAGACTTAGTACCAACTGGGGCGCGTCGCGCGTTAAGTGACAAGCGGTTGCTCTGGGGCGTGCCGCTAGCAAGTCTCAGGCTCAAAGCCGCAGCCTTGCCTGCCACCCCCCTCCCCTCAGTACCTTGGTACCTTGTCTCAACTCCCGCTGGCCGCTAGAGTCATTCCATGCGAGCCATTGTCGCAGCAGCTTTTGCCTTCAATTCCCACCTTTCATCACCTCCCAACAATCTCGTCGACTCCAGCTCCAGCTGCCTGAAAGCATCCTAATCGGATCAGCTACAGGCGCATCTGCAGGAGTTCCGGAGCCTTCTTTTCCTTGGTGTCTTGCGGGCGTTGTTCTCTGTTCCTGTCCCTGAGACACAGCGGTTGAATCTGCCAGCTTTGCGATATCTGGGGTTGATTTTTCGGCGCCGTCGGGTATCTACGGCTGCTTTCTCCTACTTGTTCGACGTATAATTCTTCTGCATTCTATTTGCGCAAAGCTACCCGGCTGCTGGCATCATGGGGTTCGTTTCTCGGCGGCGGAATCCTCTTGCTACTAATGCTGATACATGTGGCCTATAGTGTTCCCAAGTTCTTCAGATGGCTCTCAGAGCGCTATCCAGCTATCTCGCAAGTCATTGCCGAGAATCGAATTCCAGAATTCGACTGCCTCTATGTAAGTTACTCTCAATACAGAACCACAGCACAGAGTCCTAATCCGTCTCCTCCCAGCTTGACATGAATGGAATTATCCACAACTGTACACACAAAGATGCGGGCGAAGATGCTACTTTCCGACTCAGCGAAGAGGAGATGTTTATTCGCATATTCAACTACATTGAGCACTTGTTCGGCAAGATAAAGCCTAAGAAGCTTTTCTTCATGGCAATTGATGGAGTGGCCCCTCGTGCGAAGATGAACCAGCAACGTGCCAGGCGTTTCCGAACTGCCTTGGATGCTGAAAAGGCTCGCGAAAAAGCGATCCAAGATGGAATAGAGCTCCCAAAAGAAGAGCCCTTTGACAGCAACTGCATTACACCAGGTTTGTCATGTCCCTCCACAGCCCCTTCAGCTCCAGAACTAACCATATATTCTCTTTTACAGGTACTGAATTCATGGCCAAGCTCTCCCAACAACTCCGATACTTTGTAAACAAAAAGGTCTCAGAAGACACCGACTGGCAAGGATGCGACATTGTCCTATCCGGGCATGAAGTTCCAGGTGAAGGAGAGCACAAGATTATGGAGTACATCCGAAATGCAAAGGCACAGCCAAACTACGATCCAAACGTTCGGCACTGTCTTTACGGCCTCGATGCCGATCTAATCATGCTGGGACTTCTCAGCCACGATCCTCACTTCTGCCTGTTGCGTGAAGAAGTTACATTTGGACGGGCATCCAAGACGAAGTCAAAGGAACTGGAACATCAAAACTTCTATTTGCTCCACCTCTGTATTGTGAGGGAATACCTGGAAATGGAATTCCAGGAGCTCCAGAATAAAGATGTTTTGGGTTTTCCATTTGATCTCGAAAGAGTCATTGATGATTTCATCTTGATGGCATTCTTTGTTGGAAACGACTTCTTGCCCAATCTTCCAGGCCTGCATATCAACGAGGGCGCTCTGGCAAAGATGTTCAGAATATATAAATCTGTGCTGCCACAGTGTGAAGGCTATATCAACGAGAATGGTGTTATCAACATGCCTCGTTTGCAACGCCTGCTGGACGAACTCAGCAAGACTGAGTTGGACCACTTTGAATACGAAGTTTCTGACCAGAAATGGTTTGCAGCCAAGCAAATGGAGAAGAAGCTCGAAGAGAGAAATGGGTCCAAACCCAGGTCTCAAAAGAACAACCAATTAATCATTACGTCGTTCCAAAGAGATTTGTGGAAGCAAAAGATTCGCCCTTTTATCTCAAACAGATCCCAACAGCCACTGGATTTGGGGTCGGATCTCAAGGCAGAGGATCGAAAATTCGTTCAAGACCTTGCCGACTCCATGCATTTACAATGGTCTACTGAAGAAGACGAGGAGGGTAACCGTCGCCTTAAAATCGCATTCCCCCCTAAGAAGGAGAGCGATGATGACGACGAAGAAGACGAGGAGGGCAACCTCGCTGCCTACCGTGTCATGAAATCCTACGATAAGGCAACTGTTGTCGATGTCACGCCAGAAGATGCGCAAAAACAATATGATGAACTGTACCAGCAGAAATATCAGGGCTGGAAGACCAAGTATTATTTACAAAAGTTCGAGGAGTGGCCTCAAGACAAGTATGAAGAAGAGCAAAAGCAGCTATGCGAGAACTATGTACAAGGTCTACAGTGGGTGCTGTATTACTACTACAAGGGAATTGCGTCGTGGCCGTGGTTTTACGCATATCACTATGCACCACTTACGTCGGGTAAGCATTGTCGCATTGATCTTATCGTAAACTCTCTGCTAACGGTTGTTTCTTAAAGATGTTACCAAGGGTCTTGGTGCCGACCTGAACTTCAAGAAAGGCCAACCTTTCAAGCCATACGAACAGCTCATGGGTGTGTTGCCAGATCGAAGCAAGAAAATCGTACCGACGGTCTATCACGATCTGATGACTAACCCAAATTCCCCCATCATCGATTTCTATCCGAGAGATTTTGAACTGGACATGAATGGCAAGAAAATGGAATGGGAAGCGGTGGTCAAGATTCCTTTCATCGAAGAGACACGTCTCCTCACTGCCATGGGGCCTAAGAATGAGCTTTTAAGCGACGACGAAAAGGCACGAAACGGCTTTGGAGTTGCCATCAAGTTCACCTACTCCCCAGAAGTGAATTTCGTCTACCCTTCTCCCCTCCCTGGAATCTTCCCGGAGATCCAATATTGCCGCTGCATTGAGAACATATTCGACCTACCCAATGTTGAGGGGCTTGAGTATGTCTCAGGCCTAACCAACGGAGCTTTGGTAAACATCAAGGCCCTTGCCGGGTTCCCGACAATGCATACGCTACCATACTCAGCACAGCTGGTGGACGGAGCCGGAGTCAATGTTTTCCAGCAGGACAGCAGGAATCCAAGCATCATTGTCACTCTTACCGATACGGAGATGCGCACAAAGGTCGGAACTTGGAAAGAGAAATTGGGAAAGCGCTGCTTCGTCGGCTATCCATTCCTTCAGGAAGCCAAGGTTATCAAGGTTCAAGATGAACTCTTTACCTACGAGTTGGCTGAGAATGAACAAGATGTCATCACAAAGGATCACAGTAATAGAGATGCTGCTGATTATGCAAAGGAGGCAGAGTTCTTGGAGAACTGGCATGCCAAGCGTCTAGGCATCACAGTTGGTCAGGTTGAATGCCTAGTCCACGTCCACATGCTCAAAGGTCTGATCAGAACAGAAGAGGGTGCTTTGATCAAGGAATATGCCGAAAATCCTAGCCTGCGCAAGGTATATGCATCGCAGACCATCGTGGAGGAGGTAGTCAACGAGGACGAACGCTTCATTGAAAGGCCAGCCCTCCCCATCGAAGAAGAGTTTCCGCAAGGCACAAGGGCTTTCTTCCTGGGCGAGTTCGCTTATGGCCGCCCATTGGAAGTGACGGGACATGTGAATGGAAAAGCAAATATTGTCGTGTCCGTTCCTAAGAACAAAGAGCCAGAGATCACCAAGCAGATGATCTTCCAAGCGGAGCGCAACAACCCATACACGCCTTCATACGCAATTGCCAAAAAACTAGGCATTCATCCCCTCATACTTAGCAAGATAACATCATCTTTCCAAGTTATTAGTTCCGCAGGATTGAAACTCAATCTGGGTCTCAACCTGAAGTTTGAAGGCCGAAAACTCAAGGTGTTGGGGTTCTCACGCAAGTCAGAGACGGGGTGGGAATTCTCTAACCAGGCTGTGAAACTTATTGCCGACTACATGGTGGCCTTCCCCGACTTCTTCGCGGCGATCCAGAGGGAGCCGCAGAAGAGCGAGACTTATGAAACCGACCTGTGGAATGATCCCAGCGTCGCAAACCAGAGGATCAAAGACATAGTGGCATGGCTGAAGAAGCAAGAAACTAGCAAGTTTGAGCGAGTTCCGCTGGATGCTGAGCAACTGGACTCAGAGGTTGTTATGGCCTTGGCCAAAGCCGGAGAGCAGCTGCACCAGGCGAGTCTAGAAGCAACTGCCAAGACTCTCAACTCTGTCCCTCGTACAGCCTTGCTGAAACCAGCGGACGCGGAAATGGTACTGGGCAACCAGTACTTTAGGTTGGGAGACCGGGTCACTTTTGTCGCCGCTGCTGGAAAAGTCCCCATTGCAACTCGGGGAACAGTTGCTGGTATTTCTCGCACCGCGACTGCTGTTCTCTTAGATGTCGTCTGGGATGTCCCCTTCATGAGCGGCACAACCCTTGGCGAGAGAGCCCCAATGTTTCGTGGGCAGACCGTGTCATCATCTACCGTGCTGAACACTACAAACTGGCAGGTCGTCTCTGCCTCCTCCAAGTCCCGGCAACGACGCAATGTTCCAGCAACCGGGTCCACCGGATCGTACGGCTCGGTCGGTGTAACACAGTACAAGGATGCTCCTGCGCCTCCCGCTTTACGCGGCGGATGGCGTGGAGCTGCCACGGGCGAGTCTGGCCGTGGACAGAGCAGCCCCAATCGCGGCGCGCGTGGAGGCAAGCCAAACCTACTGCACAGCACACTGGTCTATCGGCCAGGCTCACAAGGGGGACCCCCAGGAGGCGATGACGCGAACAAAGCTCAGAATGGCAATCATGTAAATGGGAGAGGCGGCAATGGCGGTGGCCGAGGTCAAGGGCGTGGCCGAGGCAATGGCGGCAACAGAGGCTCGGCTGCTCCACAAGCTGGAGGACGAGATTACTCCAACGTCCCGCCTCCGGCCAACCTTGAGGCATCGCGAGGTGGACGAGGCCGTGGCCGAGGAGGAAGGGGACGTGGCGGGGGTAACCCCAATCGCGGCCGTGGGGGGGCTATAGCGCACCAGGCTTAGGAAGACATACCTCTATGGCCCTCCTTCTCTAGGTCTGAAGTGAGAAGAAGATGGCATTGAGTGGCAGGATGTTGGGGTGCCTTGTGATGGATGGATGTAGCTATGACAACATGTCAGATTATATCTCGAACCATTACTTGAGTACGATGTGGCATGGCAAGAGCAAGTTCAATCTGGCTATAGCGGCACCTAAATATCATTGGCAATTTAACCTCGTAAATCGTTACTCTTAAAACCCTATACGTGCTTCAAATTTTACGTCTTTTTTTATTCTTATTTTCTTTCGCTGCTATTCTTTTTGAAAGGGGGATATCTCAAGGCTTCTTGCCCTTGGTCTTGTTCTTGGTGCTGTTCTTGTCCTTGCTATCCTTAGACTTGAGAGCAGGGAGCGTGAACCGATCACTGATACCGCCCTTCATGGCATTCCAAGCACCGAACGACTTGTCCATGTTCCATGTCAAAAGCCCGACCCAGGGCTGGACGTTGTAATGTAGCTTCAGGGTCACGTCGGAAGTCTCCGCGATCTTGCCGCTGGGGTGGGTGATTTGGTACTTGGGCTTCTGGTTCTTGAGCTTGAGTATTCCTCTGCAATCTCCGGCGTTAGTTGAGTCCTGGAACAAGACATGCATGCATATAATGTTCGAAACATCAATACATGCACGCATAGATTGTTCGAAACATACCGCTCAGGCGCAATGCTCTTTCCCTCGGCGCTTCTCTTAAGCTTCTTCATGGCCACGGGGCCAATGTTCTGTAAGTGGTCGGCGCTGGGGTTGGTGATGATGCTGTCCCAGATGACGGCGGAGTTGTTGGTGTTGCCGGGGCCGGTCCAGTCTGCGGTTACGTATACAAAAAGTTGCTTCGTGTTCCATGTGAAGAGGGAGGAGAGGTCGGCCTCTAGAGAGAAGCGGATGATGGCATACTCTTCCTTTTTCGAAGAGTAGTAATGGGGTCGGCCCTTGACACTGTTGATTTGGGAAAGATGGAGAATGGGTTAGATGGGCCAATGTATAATAGGTCTTGTTTTGTTGAAATCACACGTACACTTGAATATTGTCTGTCTTAATGACACCGCTGGGAGAGCGAGTAGAGCCTAGATCTGTGGCAGCGATGAATGCGCCCAGGACGAAGGCAACTGTTGTGAAGAAGCCAAAGACATTCTGGAGACGGGTGAAGGAGCTGTGCATGCTGGGCAACAATCTGTAGCGCCGGCAGAACGCAGCAATTGGGGTTGAAATTCGTCAATTTAGCAGGAGTTCCGGCGTTGTGGAGAGAGTGAGGCTACCGATTCCCATGTGGATGCTGCTGTATTATAGCCAAGCTTTAGTAGCTTAATAGGACACGTCGCTGGGGGCGGGAGTTGGGAGTGTCAGCCTTGCAGAAGAATCCGGCTGCTCATTGGATGATTAGGGGAGGCTGCGGCTAGGGATGGGCGCATCTAATTTGATAGCTCAAAGTCACTCTGTATCGATCGATGCGACTAAAGCCAAGATGGGCTGCACTTGGTACATCCATTGATACTTTGGACGGGCAAATGCTAGGGACAGACAGCCCACCTTTTTTCCCCCGTCATCTTGGGCGGAGTGTCGCTTCACATGATTTGTATTGATCCGTCTCCAGGTATTGAACAGTGCAGCTCTTTATCCGCCTCTTCTCCGTGATATTGCTACCAACCCGGTACGAGTGACCTCTCCCATGCCAGCCTCCCCTCCTCTCCTTCTTCTCCCTTTCTCCGAACCAGGAGCCCGAGAGCCCTGGCAGTGAACGCAACCGGCTGGAATCGCTGCGAACGCGATAAATGCCCAGCGCCCCGTTGCTTACTCGCATAGCATCGATAGAGCGCCGCTTGAACTTGAACAATGCGACCACAACCGACGACGCCATGTCCCTCTGCGACGACGATAAGCCGCCCAGCGTGACCACAGCCGCGAGAGACGATGCTGCAGGGCCCAAGGCAAGTAAATAGAAGCATTTGATGGGAGAAGTGAAGGAAGCATCGTCACCCAGCCTTGCCATTCAGTCTTGAGACGCGCTGCCGATTTGTTCACCCTCTCTATTTTTATTCCTCGCCTTTTTTTTTTGGTTCCATCTCATCTTGGTCTTATTTTCCTCAAAATAGCACCAGACCCTTCCTGAGCGAGTCCTCCAGTGGAGGCTCCAAGGCGCGTGGGCCCTGACGCGCTGTGACGCAGTAGGCTATGTCCACTAACTTGCGCCAGCTCACCACACCACCTGCGCTATGGCCGCTATGATTTCCAAATTCTGCCTGCCCTGCCTGTGCTGTGGCCACGGGCCGATTTTGCCATTTCATCGTGGACCCCTCCACTAATGTCTAGAATATACATAGACCCAACCACTATCGCCGTCGTTGCCAAAGATTCATGTCCATGTGCAGCCACAGTCTGTAGCTGTCGGGGCCCCAAAGTAAGCCCATCGCCTCTCTTCCCCTTCCACCTCCCAGTCATCCTTCAAGCATGTGCTGAACTGGACTAGGCTGCCCGAATCGGCGCCAAGCGTCGCTAGCCGAAATCCCATCGAAGCCGTTGAAGAAAAATTGCCAGACAGTCACGAGGACCAAGGCAGCGAAAGGAAGCCGACGACGAAACCCTTGGAGTATGTGAACTCTGTTGACGCCCAATGATTGCCACTCGCGGCTAAGCTTAGGATCTTTTCCCGCTGACTTTGTCTCAGCGCTTTTGCACGCTACCTATCAGATGCAAACTCGTTTCCAGATTATGGGTAAGGCTTCGAATCCATCTGATCACCTTCTTTCCTAATTACTGACTCGAACAGGGACCGGAGTCGCAGATCTACCATGGGTCCGGAACGGCTGGTTGGTCATGACATTCGTCGATGGAGCCTTCTGCAGAATACTGACAGACAGCGAGCAGAAACAGATCAACAGGCTGGTGGCCAAACCAGTCAACACCCTCAGCGTGCGACGATTCGAGAGCCAAAACGAACCAGATGTGCCGTCTGCCAAGCGTCAAAAGAAAGATGGTGCGCGACCATGCGACTCAACAATGAGCCCATATTTCGCGACACCTCGGGCGAAAAAGAGCAGCGAGCTTCACGACGTCCGCGTTGAGCCGGACGACATATATGATATTAGAAGCACTTCAAGCGCGGGAATTACGGGCGCCAACAATCTGTCAGTCGTCGAATATCGGAACGTGCTGCCACAGAGTAGGAAAGGGGGTCGGCGACGTAGAAGCCGGACTGGCCTGAATTCAAGTTCCCAGCAGCGCGACTCCAGTCCTGGTCCCTATCGACTTCCCACGATTTCTACAAAGCGGACACTTATATCTACAATCTCAGACAGTCCAGATGTCCTCAATTCTGAAAAGCCACCTTCCAGGGTTCCGGAGGTAGTTTCTGATATCTCTCCGCTTTTCAATGCAAAAAGAGAACGACCGCATCGTCCTGGGGACAACTTTGGACGTCAGTTCAAACGGCAAAAGCCGTCAACAGCCAAGGAGACCATCGACATCTCGGAAGATGAACTCCAGGCCGATTCTGCCAAGCAGAAGGCCCCGAACAAAAGAGAAAACGCAATCTCACGATCCTCTGGCACTGCGGGTGGCTTTAGCAAGAATCCTATGCGAGGTGACATCCAACACACGATTTTTGGGAAAAGGTCACGCCGGCCACGATCCGAAATGATAGCCATAGCCAGGGCAGTCTGTGGGAAATGGATCTATAATCGCGGCGATCGTTCCGGTGCAGTCTTCTTACATCGAGAAGGAAAGGATGGCAAAAGACTTGACGCAGTATCAGAAAATGGTCAAGTATCAAGCGAACATGCTTGGCTGGGCATTGATCTAGATCAAGTTCGTTCCTTTGGAGTTTCAGAGGTACCGAACCGCTATGGCTTCGTCTCACGCTCGCAATCGGGAGATGCAGGGCCAAAGCTTTATCTGGAATTCGAAAACCATGATGGCATCGAGGCATTTTGCCACGCTCTCAAGTCTGTGGCTATCCCAGAGAAATTCATGTATGTTCCGTTCATTCCACTAAATGAACCGCGTTGCTGACTTGACCCCTACAGCGCTGAACTAGAAAAAAGAGCCGAGAGAGCATTCGACGAGGCAAAGAACTGGATAGCTTCAAATAGCCCTCCCAAGTACAGCAGCCTAATCTTTGCCCGAGACAAGAGAGAAAACGATACAGACCTAGCACCCCCAAACCCAGATGGACGCCCAGGATCGACGCGTGCAAAGCTAAAGGACAACTTAATACAGTCAGCCAAGAGTTTGAATGATTCAGATGCTTTGCAACGAAAAGACAACTTGATACAATCAGAAGCCAAGGATTTGGATGATTCAGATGCGTTGAAGCGAAAAGACAACTTAATACAGTCAACCAAGAGTTTGGATGATTCTGATGCGCTGCAGCGAGTCGAAGAGATGCTGGATTTCGAAAGCCGTCGATCTACGAGGTCATCCGCTCCGACTACCCGCTATCGCATGCCGTCCCCGGTAGGCTGGACACAAGTGAACCCGGACTGGCATGAATCGTGGCAGGCACCGCTCGTATTCCCCCCCACTGGAAAGAATAGAGCGACGGTGGATAAGATTGACATTCCCAGACTAGATGAGAATGAATTCTTAAACGACAACCTCATCAACTTTTACATCCGATACCTTGAGCACAAGTTGGAAAGGGAAAAGCCCGAGCTGCTGCGCAAAGTGTACTTTTTCAGCACCTTCTTCTTTGAAAAGCTAAGGTCAACAAAGGGCAAGATTAATTATGACGGTGTTAAAGCGTGGACTGCAAAGGTAGATTTGCTATCTTATGACTACATCGTTGTGCCCGTCAACGAACATGCTCACTGGTATCTGGCCATTATTTGCAATGTTCCCAATGCCATCCAATCCACTTGGGAGGGGAAAAGCTCAGAAACATTGACAAATTCAATGTCCAATGCCATAGAAGTAACAGATACGCCCAGCTCTCCCAGATTATCGACGGTAGAGCGAGATCTGACAGAAATCTCCTTGGAGGATGGAACTGCGGCGACGGGAAAGCAAAAAGAAGAGACAGCTGAGGTATCGCAATCGCCTCCTAAGAAGAGGAAATCTACGGGCGCTACATCGTCCAAATTTGACCCTTCGCAACCGAGAATCATCACCCTTGATTCACTCGGTGGGCCACACGCCCCAACTTGCAAAGCATTGAGGGAATACTTGATCGAAGAAGCAAAGACAAAGAAGGGGATAGAATTGACAACGGTTCCCGCAGGCATGACAGCTAGAGGAATACCGGAGCAAAACAACTTTTGCGATTGCGGCGTCTTCATTCTGGGATATATGCAAGAGTTCCTGGCAAACCCCGATGAAGCCGCACGTAAGCTCTTGATGAAGGAAGAACTTGGATGGAACATTCGTCCGTCTGAGATGCGGAATCGCATAAGAGGGCTGCTTTTTGATCTTCAAGGCGAACAACAAGAGCACCACAAGCAGCTCGAGAAGGAAAAAAGGCTGCGAAGGGCGAAGAAAAAATCCATGGCCCCATCGAGCCCGCGAAGTTCTTCGCCGGTCAGATCTGTAGCAATGTCACCTCTAGTACCAAAGTTGCCGGGTGCATTTCCATCAGACTCACCGGAGAGTAAACCAGTACCAGAGGCAACGCTTTCATCATCAGAATCTATACAGGAAACTGACGGCTCGGAAGGTAGAGGCTCGAACGGCAACGCGTCTCATGAAGCTCAGGAGAAGCCAAATACCTTCGAAGAATTCCGATTCATAAGTCCTTTGCCTGGATCGAGCATCAGCCCTCAAGACACGAAGGACAAAACCTTTACTGGCACTTCCTCTTCATTCCCCAAGCTCGACAGCCGCTCCAGTAGAGTTGTCGTAGAGCTGAAATCTGCGAAGGGTTATGACAAGAGCGAGTTTGAAGAGCCAACTTTGCTCGACGACGACGAGGTCCAGATCGTGAAAGAGCCATACGCCCAAAAGGGCAGCTCAAAGGCCACAGAGACACGCAGGCGTCGACACTCTTCAGTGGAAGTGGTAGAGGCAACAGCAAGTCGACCAACCTCATCCTCTCGGGTGCAAAATCAGCAGAACAAGCCTTCCGTCAACACTTCGCCTCGGTTGAAGCCGCGTCAGTCTATTGAATACGACAGTGATCATAAGACCCGCGGAGAACCCAAATACGACGGCATAGACAGATCGGGGAAATCTTCTGGTCAAACAGTATTATAATTTATTCTTCTGACATTTTATTTCATTTTTTTAATTGTCATTCTATTTTTTTCTACGGAAATACCAAGTGGCCCGTCATTTCATTGCGAAGGGTACACATTGCTGAGACAAGGGGAGTTGTGGACAAACTTTCACTCTGAATTTGTTGCTTCCATGCCGCATGCGTTTGCGGGTTTTGAGGAGAAATACGGTTGAGCATAGCAAGGAGCGTCTTTTCATTTTACTTTCTTTTTTTTTTTTTTGCAGCCTTGTGGGAAGTCAACTATGCAGGTGGGACAGGTTTGCTGAATTCGATACCTGGCTGGCTAAAATATCATGGTGATATAAATGCAGCCGGAAGCGCGGGAGAGAGATATAACACAAGATAGAGTAATGAACAAAGAAGAAAAACCCTTCCGAGCGTTGAACACCCCCCTAAGATGATCATCACGGTGTTGTATACATGCATATTTATGTGCCCCTCTTTCAAGAACGTGAAAAAAAAATATTATATACATGAACCCGATGCTGTACGAAAAATTCTGGACTTTGCTATTATGTACCCTTTCTATGATTTTGCTGCTTGATGCTTTTCCTCGTCCTTGTCTGAGCCGTCCCCTTCCTCTTCTTCTTGGTTATGTACGCCGTTGGTGGATGCTTTTTGGATTTTGGGGATTTCAAATACTACTCCGCCGTTTCTCACGCCTTTGCCTTTGCTCACGCTCCATCTTCCTAGGCGGTGATCCTTGGCCACGGCGGCGACGATGCAGACGCCGTCTTGGCCGCGGTCGCCGCGCTCAAACACGGCAATGTCATTGATGACGCCGTGGACGGATCGGGGATGCGAATTTTCCTTTCCGCTCTTGGAGGAGGGCGCGCCGTTGGGCTGGCCTTCGGCGTTGGCGTCTGCCAGCTTGTCAGAATCGTCCGGGGAGCCGCCGAGGGTGGCGACGAGGTCAATCTTCTTCTTGTCCTCGGACAGCTGCCACACGCGCACGTGGCCGTCCCAGCTCCCGCTGAGGATGACGTCGGAGTAAGGGATGGTCTTGAGGGCCGTGATCCAGCGAGGCAGAGGGGCGGGGACGGCCTTGCGGTCCGGCTTGACCTCGGCGGACGCGGCCTCGGGCTTGAGCGGCGGGTCGAGGCCGTGGGCGAGGGGCTGGATGTAGACGGGCTTCTTCTTGGAGACGCTCCAGAGGGCGAGGCTGCCGTTGTCGCTGCCGGTGACGAAGAGCTCGTCGTCAATCATGGCGATGCGGTCCATGCTGCCCTCGTGGAGGAGCGACCGGGGGTTGATGCCAGGCTGTGGCTTCTTGTCTACCGCGCCGCCGCGGAAGACTAGCTGCGTCTCCTCGGCCACCTTCCATAGTCGGGCCGTCCTGTCACGGGCGCCGACACTGACACAGCGGTCCTGAGCGAGGGCGTCGATGTCGAGGATCTCGTCTTGGTGGCCGAACAGCGTCTCGATGTAGGCAAGCTCGTCTAAGCTCCAGACCTTGACGGTTCGGTCTTTGGAGCATGAGTAGAGCTGATTTGTGCCCCTCCGGAACGCCAGTCCTGTTACGGCGTCGCGGTGATGTGTGAAGACCTTGATTGGCTTGAGAGTTTCGGCGTCGTAGACGATAATTTTCTTGTCCTTGCCTCCGGTGACAACAAACTTGCCATCTGAAGAAGCGGCAACGGCTAGAATGTTGCCCACATGTCTCTTATAAGTATTATCGTTTTGCTTGCCCGCATTTCCCTTGATCCACATCTCCAACTCAGGTCTCTTTTTGGGCGGTGCCGGTGGCTTCTTCGGTTTCCGTTTTGTTGTCTGCGGGTACTGGTGCTGGGGGAGGTCCTGTATCCTCCACTTGTGCAGGAAGAGATCTTTGGTGGTGGTGTAGACGTATGGCGCGCAGGCGGCAATGGATGTGACAGAGTTTGTGTTTGATCTGAAGAATGTTTGGCGGACGCTCTCAAAGGCCAATTCCGAGGCCAATTGACGGTAAACTTTTCCTTTTGACTCGGCAACGTCCTCTTGTAGCCTCTCGGCGATTAGATCTCGATCAATCTCCGCGGCGTCGAATCCAACCTCGTCCACGTGCTCCTTGACGTTGTCCAGGTAGCGCTCGGCCAACCGCAGTCGCTTTTCGGCGGCGGTTTCGCCCTCGTTTTCAGAGTCATTGTCGTCTTCGTCGTTAGTCGCGTCGGAGGCGCTCAGTTGGCTCTCGTCATCTTCAGAGTCGCTGCCCGAGATTGACTCGTCGTCACGCTCAACTCGCTTCTTGCTAGAGGCTGCAGGTTTCGCGGCAGGCTTCGCAGATCTCGCAGAGGACTTGCCGGACGATTTTGTAGCGGCGACTCTCTTCTTGGGCGCTTCAGGACCTGCAGGCCTCTTCCTCTTTCCGGGAACTGTGAAAAACGACGACATTGTGGCTCAATCCGCCCGGCCTGCTATCCCACTATGTGCGGTCGACCTTCTGCCATTAAACCCGTCCTGAAAAAAAAAAAAAGTTCGAGATGGATTGGCCCACTGAACTTTTCGGGACCCACCATGTCTCGCGGCGGCGAATCACACGGCAGGCCCGGGTTATAGTGCTTCCGGCCCAGGGCGGTCAGCTCTGGCACAAGCAAACGGGCAGGTGGGCGGTTCGTTGACGCGCAGCGCTACAGCCTAGCGGGACGAGGTAGCTCTGGCTGCTGCCGGGGGCTGTAACTGTAACTGGAATTGAGGGCAGTTCGAATCTCTGCAGCTCTCCAACAAGATACATCATACCCAAAAACACACAGTCATCATGTCAGTACCTGCGAATGCGCCTCATCTACCGCTTTTAGTGGCTAACAAACTGTCTCCAGGGAGGTTCTTCTGGGAATTACGGGCAAGGACTTTACTCTCATCGGCGCCTCCAAAGCTGCCATGAGGGGAGCCACCATCCTCAAGGCATCCGACGACAAGACAAGGCCGTTGAACAAGCACACTCTGCTGGCTTTCTCTGGAGAAGCTGGCGATACAGGTGAGCTACCCCTCAGGTTCTGATGCTGTCCGGAGCACAGGAGATTTAACGGTGCCCAGTACAATTCGCCGAATACATCCAACGAAATGCCCAACTCTACTCCATGCGCAACGAGACCGAGCTGTCACCCTCTGCCCTCGCCCACTTCGTCCGAGGAGAACTCGCCACCAGCCTCCGATCCCGAAACCCATACAACGTAAATCTCCTCATGGGAGGAGTTGATCCCATTACCGGCAAGCCCTCTCTATACTGGCTGGACTACCTAGCGTCGCTGGCGGAGGTACCGTACGCAGCACACGGCTATGCGCAGTATGTGTTTAGTTCCCCGGTTATCAGGCAGCTCTGAGATTCATGGCTACAACCTTTGAACCATCTACTTCTTGATTTGCAGGCTTGCTAACTGCTGGCTACTCTCTGAACAGATACTACTGCCTGTCTCTTCTTGACAAGCACCACCACCCAGACATTACACTAGGACAGGGAATCAAGCTCATGACTATGTGCATAGATGAGCTGAAGCGTCGACTACCGATCGACTTCAAGGGAATGGTGGTCAAGGCAATCAAGGCAGACGGAATTGTCGATATAGAGTTCGATGACGACCGTATTGTGAAAAGCGCATAAGCAAGAACAGCGGGTGCTGGAGAAGGGATGGCGTGTATCACTAGAAACTGGCTTGAGCTTGGTAATTAATATACGGCCGCTTCTTCCGGTTCATTCTTCATCAATTTCGTCATGCGACTGGTCAAGGCTTGGCGAATGCAGGGTGAGAAGAGGTATACAGTACTTGCCGTGGGGGCCACAAGGAGTATACGGTAACTCTGGAAGTTTGCTGGATGATGAATATGCCATATAGAACTGCTGCTGTGGATTATTTTCTTCAAGGATTGGCATCTTTCCCAGCATCTCAGTGGGTATTATTGCTGTAGGGGCCGACTTGTAGCCGTATCTAAGTGACAATCTAGGCTCCATACTCTGGCTTAGAGCCAGCTGCATGCAATTATAAGAATAGCCGGATGTCTGCACGTAGTTTCGATCGCAAATGAAACTTGCATCCATGGTTTGTGTCGAACTGATCTCCCAAATGCCAGGCACGTTTCAGTTACAGTACCGAACCCGACATTTTGTCGAGTTTCACCATGGCGGCTATGAGACATTTCAGCAGTGATACCGTGGTTTCAAACGCAGCTTGGATACTGTTATGTCCCATTCGTGTTATACTTCGAATTCTCCGTACATCCGCCTTCTGGAATCGTTTGTGTTTTATAGTTCCCCCTTCTCAATGCGTAAGCTGCGATGTGTCGGAGATTTTTCCACATTGTACTATCTATCCAATACCAGCCAGCCTACCTTGGTGCTTCTCAATGGATATGTGTCTGCCGGTGCATCTAGATATCTGTGCAAATGATGAAATTCCGCATTACTCTGTATACCAGCGCCAGGCGCACATGCGGTACTGGGATAGTATGGGGTCTCGTGTTAGATACAGGCAGGTGGCAGTGATCGGATCTCCTTGGGTTGAATCACCGGTACCTGGCAAGGGCCCTGGTCAAACCTTGAATCCTCCCATGTTGCGAGGTAATACTGACGTAGACAGCCTTGAATGCTTCAGGTTGCCACTCCGCGGTAGTTTGCGATTCAAATCATAAGAACCCTTTTTGACTTTCTTATACTGAGCAGACATGGTGGGTACCAAATTGCTGCTGTTTGTTCAATGAAATTCCCCCCGTTACTGGGATAAACCCGCTGTTCCTGGCACGGACGAAGATCTGGAAAATTCCCCCACCTGTCAGAGCAAGCCATCCAGGTCTTCAATCGGCGGGGATCCGTGCCGTATTACAGGGCGTCCCCTCCGCTAGAGAAGCACTGCAGAGTCGTTTGGTGTTAAGATTGATTCCATACATCCATTGATGCTGATTCAGTTCGATAGTCATTATGTACTGTAGTCGTGTAGTAGCTACAAGGGTTTGCAGCGGTGGCCTGCCTCCTTTTGATTGCAGCGCATGTCATCCACGAATGCGCGTGTACATGTCCGTCCCACTTCTGCAGGTGGACGAGGCGGTATTCACTTGAGCTGCACTGTACCTACCTATCGGTGTAGGCACGTAGGCATCAAACGAATAATATGCTTCGTGTTGATTATTAGGGCCCCTTGCTGGTTGGTCCGGATACAGCACTAACACTCCAGCCAGCATATTCATACAGTACAGTGGAAGTGTCGTAATGAACAGGCTGGCACATGTCAGGCATCATGATAAGGGTCTAAACGCCAAGACCAGACGAAAGAACCCGACATTCCCCAAACCTTCTGGCCTGGCACCAATCCGAACAAATGTCATTTCCCGAAAGTCTCTTGTCTCTAGACCGGCAGCCAGCCTCGCTGACCCCGAAACACTAAATCCCCCGTAGTGGCGATTCGGATGGAAGCCATGAGAATGTTCAACTGCCAGAAGGGAGGAAACCATCGGTCTGCCCAGTAACGTCACAAGCCACAGCGCCACGGCACTGCGAGGGATAGTCCAGGTAGCGCGCAGGTACCGCTGCACTCGCACCCCGTGCAGGGACAACTCCGAAGTGCGCACAAACACGTGATGCAGTACTTGCAGAGTACTCTCTCGGTGGCTTGCATCCTAAAAATCTCTGACCCCCCTCTGGCACTAGCCGCTTTCTGGTCCGCCTGGAGACTAATTTTTTTCTCGCCTTCGCCTCAAAGGCTCGCCGTCCCTTTTCTCTTTTCCTTTCCCACAACTCAACCCTCCCAACACACAAACCTCTCCTCATCTCCATCTCCCTCTTTTTTTCATCCTCATACTTTCTCGAGGCATTTTCGTCTTTCCTTGGTCTTTCCTTTGAAGATTCTGCGTGTTCTTCGACGGAAAGTGCAAGCACAAGTTGTTTACGCGTGCCCAATTTAATACAAGTCGGAGAAAAAGAAAAAAACAAAAACCAAAACAGGGAACTTCTGTTCTTCCCGTTTCTTTCTCTTCGTGTTTCCTGTCTTCATTTTTGCGGACAGGCTTCCCTACTTCACTCTCATTCATTTTGCGAGGGTGATTTCTGATCGAACAAGTTCGACGATTCCATTCGCGATTTGCAAACAAAAAAGTTCACTACGACGACTCAAGTCCCTATTCACTGGAACCCAACTTCCAACATGGCGGACCAACTCAACATGAACGGCCTCAACCTCGGCGGTGAAGGTGGTCAAGCGGCTTCCCAGGCACGCTCCTACATCCCGCCTCACATGCGTGGCCGTCAAAGCGCCGCTCCCCCCGTCCAAGAGGGCGCCCCTCCTGCCGCCGGTTTGAACAACAGCTCCTGGGCTGGGTAAGTGCAGAGCACATCATCTCTACTTCGTAACTGAACAACGCAACTAACATTAATAACAGTAACAACCAAGGCTTTAGCGGCGGTCGACAGGGCGGTGGCAACTGGAATGGCGGCGAGGGCGGTTATCAGAACAACCGCCGCGGCGGTGGTGGCAGCTGGGGTGGTCGTGGAGGCTACTCTGGCGGCGGTGGTGGTGGTAACTTCGAAGGCCACGGCGGCGGTAACCACACTGCTCGTGGCTCTGGAGATGGACAGTGGCGAGACGGAAAGCACGTTCCCGGCCCAGCTAACCCCCGTGTCGAGCGTGAGCTCTTTGGCACCGCCGACGATCCTTCCAAGCAGCACACCGGTATCAACTTTGAAAAGTACGACGATATCCCTGTTGAAGCCTCGGGTCGCGACGTCCCCGAGCCTGTTAACCAGTTCACTACCCCCCCTCTCGACGAGCACCTTTGCCGTAACATCGAGATGGCCCGCTACAAGGTCCCTACTCCCGTTCAGAAATACTCCATCCCCATCGTCATGGGTGGTCGTGATCTCATGGCTTGTGCCCAGACTGGTTCTGGCAAGACTGGTGGTTTCCTTTTCCCCATCCTTTCTCAGGCCTTCATCCACGGTCCTTCTGCTGTCCCCGCCGGCGCTGCTGGACAGTTTGGTCGTCAGCGCAAGGCCTACCCCACCTCTCTCATCCTTGCCCCCACTCGAGAGCTGGTTTCTCAGATCTACGAGGAGTCCCGAAAGTTTGCCTACCGATCTTGGGTCCGCCCTTGTGTGGTGTATGGTGGTGCCGATATTGGCTCTCAGCTTCGCCAGATTGAGCGCGGATGCGACCTTCTTGTTGCCACCCCCGGAAGACTTGTGGATCTCATAGAGCGAGGCCGCATCTCCCTGTGCAACATTAAGTATCTTGTGCTCGATGAGGCCGATCGCATGCTGGACATGGGTTTCGAGCCCCAGATCCGCCGTATTGTTGAGGGTGAGGACATGCCCAACGTCGCTGAACGACAGACTCTCATGTTCTCGGCCACCTTCCCTCGCGACATCCAGATGCTCGCCAGAGATTTCCTCAAGGACTACGTTTTCCTGTCTGTTGGTCGTGTTGGTTCTACCTCTGAGAACATCACCCAAAAGGTCGAATTCGTTGAGGACATTGACAAGCGCTCTGTTCTCCTCGATATCCTCCACACCCACGCTGGTGGTCTGACCCTCATCTTCGTCGAGACCAAGCGCATGGCCGACTCTCTGTCCGACTTCCTCATCAACCAGAGCTTCCCTGCCACCTCCATTCACGGAGACAGGACTCAGCGTGAGCGTGAGCGTGCTCTCGAGTTCTTCCGCAACGGACGCTGCCCCATCCTGGTGGCTACTGCTGTTGCTGCTCGTGGTCTTGATATTCCCAACGTCACCCACGTCATCAACTACGACCTTCCCACTGATGTCGATGATTACGTCCACCGAATTGGTCGTACCGGCCGTGCTGGAAACACTGGTATTGCTACCGCCTTCTTCAACCGCGGCAACCGTGGTATTGTCCGCGAGCTCATTGACCTTCTCAAGGAGGCCAACCAGGAGATCCCTCCCTTCCTTGAGGCTATCGCTCGTGAGTCCTCCTTCGGCGGCGGCGGTCGTGGCGGTCGCTCTCGCCCTGGCGGTGGTGGCCGTGGCAATGCCAACCGCGATTTCCGCAAGTTTGGCGGTGGCGGCTTCGGTGGTAGCGGCGGCGGCGGCGGCTTCAGCAACCCCCAGCAGGGTGGTGGCTTCAGCAACTATAGCGGAGGGTCTCAGGGAGGCTCTGGCTATGGCGGCGGCGGCGGCGGCGGCGGCGGCTACGGAGGCGGTTACGGCAACGGTGGTGGCAGCTACGGCAACCCCGGCGGTGCTGGAGCCCAGTCCTCGTGGTGGTAAATACTCACGCTCTCTCTTGATGGGCATATCGCTGTGTCTATCCTTGTGGCTCAGGTTTCAGCCACTACTCTTCTTTTTTCTCGTTTTCACTTTTCCCTTATCGTCATTTATTCTATTTGCGCATCAATTTTGCTTTGATTAAATCGGTTATTTCACATTTACGCATCATGTCATTTGTTTTCGACGACACGGCGGCATCATGACCTGCGAAGGCGGAAGAGTGCCTTTTTTTTATTTGCTGCAAAGGGCAGTAACGGTCAGGGGCATTTCACGACGCATGTGATAGATTGCATTTCTTTTGATTTCAGCATCCTCCCTCGCTTGATACCCTTAGACCGAGAATAGAGGAACTTAACGACGCTGGCAGAACGTGTGGTGTTGAGAGATCTACGGTTGTTAGATCTGGACTAGGACATCACGGTTTTTTTTCATGTTTCTGCTGTCTACGAGGGTTTCCTCCCCCCGCAGGGCATTTTCTCGCTTTTCATGATAGAGGGTCATGCTATCGCCGTGGCATACATAGACAAAAGTGGATTTACTCGGTTCTCTGGTCGGAATTACTCGACGGTCTCCCACGGATTGGGACGGAAGAGATAGCTATATGAGCATAGACTGGGAATACAGATGGCCTATGGGTCGGTTTCTCTATTTCATTCGAGAGCAAGAACTGGGCCTCTCGACGCTAGTTATGGATTTTGGTTGGGAGGGCATGGATCAAAGGCTCTCGGCTCTTTGACCGTCATTAGCACAATGGAACGCTTCGACTCGGCCGAAAGGGTGCCGAGTACGCAGCCTTGAAGGAACAGGGTCTTTGGGAGTTTTTTGTTCCCGTGATAGACAGACAACCAGAGTGGACTGAGGAGTCCCAAGTAAAAAAATAAAAGGTTTTGCGATATAAATGTGCGTGGTACTTCTGCGTGATGTGACTCTGTAATATCTTGTCTGTTGCATGTGACGTATTTGATTGATACATGAAGAATAACGCAGGATGACTGGTGGCCATGTGTCTACTTCTCCGTCCTTGCTGTGAAGATTCTCACCATGTACTCGGTATGTTGTCGAGGTTTTTCTTGTCTTGCTACCCTGCATTTTTTCGTTTTCGTTTTCGCTTCTTGTTGCGCATTTGTTCTCCGCTCTCCCAATTGAAAATTTTGAAAAGGGAAAATGATTCTCCAGCTATCTGTAATCTACAATGTTTTTGTATCTACTCCGTACGTAGTCGGGGTTATTCATAAATACCACCTTGCCAATCTTTGGGCCTGTACTGTAACGGTAAGAGATTTTCTCATGCGTGGAAGATTCTGGACTAGTCGTCGGTCCATGTATGTATGAGAGGTTTGTTGGAGCCACACAAACCTGCCGTCATCCCGCGCAGAACCTCCCGCGGCAGCGGCTTAAACAGCCAGACATCACTCACTGGGGCTCTCACGGGTAGTGGACCGAAATTGTGTAATATAGTGGAATGATGTATGCTGCAGATGGGAAGACGGCAGATTTTTAGGGTATCGTCTAGTGCACGTTGATTTCTCGGGCTGTGAGTTCCACTAGAGCTCGGTACCTAGCTGACATCTTCCCCGCTGCGCCGGTGCGGCCGGAGAACCTCAGGTAAGGCTCGGGGTTGGGTACTATTGGAAGTACTACTGGGCTCGCTTATTACTGGCCAACTTGACAGTCATCCATATCTCATATTGTCCTCCCCCCCACCAAGCTGGTTGACAGCTCTTCATTCTCTTCCTCTCCCATCACATGCCTCGACCCTAGAGGGAGCACAAGGAAGCATCACCACGACTCTTGAAGCTCTCTTGCCTTGCTCCCGAGCGACGAGATGGGTCTCCTCGAGAGCCTCGACGCCGGCATCACTGGCTTTGTGGGCCAGTGGGATGCCTACTCGACCGGGCTGGTGACGCTGCTGGTTGTCCTGGTCACATACCGCATCACCTCGTCGCGCGAGCCTGACGTGCACCCTCTGCTGCTTGCCAGACAGGCGGGCGCTTCTACGGTGCGCAATGAAGGCGAGAGCGCTGCCTACAGATGCCTGGCTGCTCCTCACAGCATGCCGTTGAACAGCGGACTGGATGTCAAGGACCCCGGTGCTTCTCGATGGGCAAGGGGACGCGATGGCGATCTTCGAGATATCTGGCGGAAAGCGGCGACCGGAAACGACGAGGGGAAGAAGGGAAAACTGCTCACTGTTCTCGGGTCCGAGAATGTTATTGAACACCGCCTAGGTAGGATCCCCAAAACTTGTTTACTTTTCCATGAGGGCTTCCAAAGAGACAACCATAGCTGACTGTTATTTACCCTTTTCCCTTTTTACAGAGGATATTACAAGGCAGATTAACCTCATTGGACATTACATTGCAGAGCAGGGCGGCATCCGAGTTGCCATCTATCTGCCCAACTCTGTCGAGTTTCTGGTTACACTCTTGGCATGCAGCTTCTACCCGAACTTGACAACTGTCCTGATCCCGTTCAACGTCTCAAACGAGGAGCTCGTCTCCATGATGCGCCGATCTGCCGTTGACACCGTCGTAACAACACCCGGCTCATTCCCGCTCGATGACGTTGCCAAGGCATATCCGTCGCTAAGACAGCTTATCTGGGTCGTGGATGAAGGTAGCTCGCACCTTGACTGGAATGAGGTTCCCGAGGGCATGGGTGGCAGTGTCAATGTTGCTACATGGCAGGAGATCATTCGCGACGCCCCGGCGGACTCTGGCACTGAGCTTCCCCCCCTGAACCTGGAAAAGGTTCCCATGGATGTGGTTACTTTCTGGCAGACGAAGCCCGGCCAATTGGAAGAGATGGTGCGCTTCACACAGGCCAACCTGGTTGCTGGCATTGCCTCCCAGATCAATGCTGTACCCATCAAGGAGAGATTGACTCCTTCTGACCTGTTTCTTCCCGCTGAATCTTTGGCCGGCATTCACACCCTTGCTCTTACCTTGGCTGCACTTTATCAGAATTCTTCGGTAGCTTTCAATTCGGTTGCTGGTCGATCGCCAGATCTGGTTCTAGCCACTCAGGGCATCGCTCCGACGGTGATTGTTGCCAGCCCCTCCAGTTTGCTCAAGATCCATGAAGAGTCCACCGCCAAACTGAACACTCCTCTTGCCAAGGCCTCTCATGCCATATCGACTCGTGCTCTCACTCAACAGGGCGTTCTTCCATCCTCGAACTTGCTGTCTGCGTTTGCGGCTGGAGCGAAACCATCCCTTGGCACCGACCTCAGCAAGTTGCGTCTCGTGTATACCGCAGAGCGTGTTGGAGCGGACACTCCTTACCTTTCCTCCAAAGTCCTTTCTGATCTGCGCGTCTTCACTGGCGCTCGAGTTGTGTATGCTCTGACAAGCGCTCGGGTGGTAGGCGCTGTTTCGCAGACGGCCTACTATGACTACAGAGTTGAGGAGGGCGACAATGGCCACTTTGGCGCACCTGCGACAAGCATCGAGATTCGCTTGAAGGACAAGGGCATATTCAAAACAACAGATGATGATGTTGTGGGAGAGGTAAGCTTAACACATGGTCTCTCTGGTAATCCAATAGTTCGCACTGACATGCGGACTCAATAGATTTTTGCAACTGGACCAAGCGTTGCTGGCGGCGAAACTAACTTGGGTGTTATCGGAAAACTCAGACACGACAACACGTTGGCGATCTACGGATGCTAGTTCAAGGGGTAAAGGGAAAAGGGCCGGTTGAAGGGAAGCAGGGTACACAATAGGCTAGGCGCATAAATGTGCTTTAGGAATCACTTTGGAGAGATTCGTCATTGGATGAGCTGGGAGACTCGGCGACTTTTATTATGCGCTTCAGGAAAGAAATAGCGAAGAGCGTTGAATGATACAAAGTAGATTGATGATTATTATTATATGTTGACTGATGTTGATATGACTTGTAGCCATCTCGGAATTATCTACGGGGTATCTACATGAACCTTGCTTGGATACCACGATGCAGATGCAGAACGGCCCGAGGCAATATCGAGCTGGTCGCGTGCAACTCTATTTATATCCGCACGCGCTGGATCCAGGCTTGGCGAGACGTACAGACAGACTGCAACACTCCAGAGACTGGAAGCTAATTTGGAACATTTCCCGTCTACCCCAGGTCCTCGTGGTGCTACGTGCAGGGTTTAGTAGTAGATACGGAGCAAGCACAGACACGGGAAGTAAGACTAGACTAGATGCTACCTGATACTGCCTCGGGGCCGGGGGTGTTTGAAGTGACATTGTGAGCGTATAGAGCACCTAAAAAGGAAGAGAAGGATGCGTTGCAGTACGATGGCATTTGCAGTGTATTCCCGGTAAGGGTGTGTTGTGTTGACCTTGTTAAAGCACGCCCTTCTAGACAACTTCTGAAGCTGTCAACTGCTCATATTTCGGCGGCGGTTGACTGTTCATTGACCCTTTCGTCGATATACAGGACTATTGGATGGCGGAGATGGCAGCATAAATGCCCTAAATTTGTCGTGTTAATGCTTCAACTCTGTCCCCCAATATTCTCACGACTCGGTGTCACTGAGAAATTATTGGCTACATGTACTAGCGAGGGCATGGTCCGGCGCTACGAAAATGAGGAGAGGGGGGACAACTTGAAGTGGGAGCGGCGCGTCAAAGGGAATCAAATCGAATGGCTTGACTGCTTGATTTCAAATGGATGAGAAAGGCTGAGAAANGGGGGGGGGGGATAGAAGAGATTTAATTTTAAAAAATAGAAATAGGAAAAATACAAATACCTACTAAAATGAAATAGAAAAATCTGACTGGCGTGCAGCTCCCAGTTCAATCAAACTCGGCGGATCAATCAGACGCCCCGGTCCGGCGGGTTTTTACGGGCTATTGGACTCTTGTCTTGCCCTTCCACCCACTATTTTACTTACCCAGTCAAACCATCATCTGCGGTGGGACCCCTTGGAACCTCCTGATCCCCGATCCGCGGGCCTGCTTTCTCTGTTACCACGTTAGCTCTCGGTGTGTCTTATCTCCTTGGGTCTCTCCCTCGTCTAATTTTTCTTCTTTCTTTCTACTGTAAAACTCTTCTTATAATACCTTATACTGGAGGCGTCGTCTAGTTTGGGACCCCTGTCTTATATATTTTCTTCTTCTCTTCTTTTTTTCTGAATACCCCATCGTGCCATCTGGAACTCTAATTTTAAATCGCTTTTCTGGAATCACACGTCTACCTTATTTTGGCTGCTTCCGATTACTAAAGAGGTTCATAACAAAAAAGCCATCCATCGCATTCCTTTGCGACAAGATCACTGTTCCGCTTTTCTTTACTCGAAGAGAAGGAGTCGCAGCTTCACCACATAATATCCGCTCTTTTATCATTACTCTTGCATTTATTATTTTTTGAAGGCGCCTCGCTGCAGAGGCACGCGCATCTGGTAGCACGGGAAGATGCGCAACTGTTGAGTGAGAGTGAGAAGAGAGCGCGAAGCGAGTTGACGCCGGACTTTTTGGATCACGTTACTGGACCTCTAATCGACGGGCGAAACGACTGGGATGAAGAAGTTTTCCAAGATCCTGTCGCGGCGACTTGGGCGATCTGGCGGCGACGACCATGGCCGCTGGGAGGGGGGCCTGGAGTCTTCGCTCGACTTCCACCAGCTGACGTCCAGACGGTGGCGGAGTGGTGACGATGGACTGGCGATGAATGGCGAGAACCACAGCCGCATCTTTACGAAGGAGGTTCCCAAGTACGGCGCCGGCAGGATATTGGCGGACGGGAGCGACGACGCTGGGCAGCTCTGCGAGGTTTGCCGGGAGATTGACTTTGCGAGGCTGCTGGACTGGCAGCCGGGGGATTCAAGACCATGGGTTTCATTGGCACACTGCTTGAAGCTGAGGCTGCCCGAGGACGAAGGGCTGGGTCTTGATGGGATGACGCTGGACGGAGACGAGATGAGCGAGGACGAGAGGCGGAGGAAGAAGAGGAAAGAGGGAAACCAGTGTCCGTGGTGTGTCTTCTTCCACTCGATGATCACCACAGTGTCGGAAGGGGATGAGACTGGTGGTCTGGATGGGAGGGATGGGAGGGTCATGAAAGCCAAGTTCACGCCGTATCTGCGTATCCGCTTGGCCTTTGAGCGGCTTGGCGGTGGAGAGAAGCACGCGTTGGGGAAATCGGTGCTCTTTGAAGTCACAACGAGGAATCGATCTCTTCCGTGGGGGTACATTGTGAAGGCTGCGCCGGCGCTGGAGGAAGAGGAGGAACAAGAGGAGGAGGTAAAGGCCGATGCAGAGACGGAAGCAGAGACAGCGACAGGGACAGACGCGGAACTGGAGGCAGAAACGAGCACACAAGGGGAGATAGAAACAGAGACGGATTCGGGTGTCGAAGCCGATGCAGAGTTGAAAGAGGAGATGTTATCAGAGGTTAAGCCAAGGGCCTCGACAACCGACGATGTGGAGGACCATGTTGAAGAGAAGCAGAATGGCCATGCGAAAGTCAACGGAAAGGACAAGCGACAAGACGAATCAAGGGTCATTCGAGGGAGGGAGATAACTCAGCTGCTCCATCTCCCGCTGGCAAAGAGCTGGATTGACTTTTGCGACGAGAACCACGCCGCCGAAGCCTGTTCCGTCAAGAATCTGACGTTGGTCAAGGGATTGAAGCTGATCGATTGCGAGGAGAACAAAGTTATTCTTGCAGAGCAGCTATCCGCAGCAGCACCTCGCGATGAGGTACAAGATGATAAAAGCCAGACTGGTACTCGCAATAGCCATGAGAACAACACCAGGCACCAGAATGTGGATTATGTCACGCTCAGCTATATCTGGGGAAGTTCTCGCCGCAAGGACACCGAGGCCACCTCTGAACAAGGAACCGACGACGACGACCAGCTGCCGCGCCAGCTCCCGAAGCTGATTGCTGATGCTATTTCCACTACCAAGGGCCTTGGATATCGGTACCTCTGGGTCGACCGATATTGTATGCCCGGAAAGGGAGACGTGGAGGGAGCGTCGGAGCGCCAGCGACAGCTTAGCCTTATGGGCCAGATATTCAGCCATTCGGCACTCACGCTCGTCGTTGCCGCGGGCGAAGGCGTTGACGACGGCATCGTCGGAGTCAGCGCGCCGCGCGAAGAACAGCTGTCAATACAAACGGAATCGGACCTCTTCACCACGTCGCTCCTTCGCCCAGACCTCGAGGTTGCTTCGTCGAAGTGGGCGTCTCGGGCATGGACATACCAGGAGGGTCTCTTGTCGCGGCGACGCCTCATCTTCACGCCCTCGCAGATCTACTTCCAGTGCCAGGCCATACACTGTCACGAGAGCCTTTCCTTACCCCTCGAATATGCACCAGGGTTGAACTTTGGTCGGGTATTTCCCTCCTCGACTGAAGATATCCTTCGGCCCAACAAGCTGAAGAGCCATATCAAAGCCTACCTGGCCAAGAGCCTTACTTACACCGACGACCATCTAGATGCCTTCAGGGGCTTACTTCACGAATACTCACGGCGGGAGAAGCTCCCCGTAGAGCATCTGCTCGGCCTACCCCTTTTCCACCCCGACGACTTTACCAGGCACAAGGTCGTCAGCCAAACGGACCGCCTGGCTGTTGCCCTGGGGTGGATGCCCAACCGCACACTGCCTTCTTCTTCTATCTCCGCCTCCACTACCTCTTCCCACGACGACCTCCTTCACAACCCCGTCATCGACCCTTACTCTCTCATCGATTCTCCCTGTCCTTTTCCTTCATGGACTTGGCTCGCGTGGCGGCCCAATCAAACAACGTACAACTACAATACTCCCAGCTACTCCTTCAACTTCAACCTCGTGGATGACACCTCACCTCTTCTCGACGGCGTATCCGCCGCGCCTGGGATGGAAGTCTCTGTCGGCTTTAGCGACGGCATGGTTCTCTCGTGGGAGATTGATGGCGACGCTATTGCCCGCAAGGCCGACAAGATCGAGATGCTGCGCCTCAAGACGTACTGCTTCGACCTGAACGTGAAAAGAACCCCCGCTGGCGCGGGAAACAGGTCGACCTTGTCCCTCGCCGAGCCCGTTGCCTCCGCGCTGGGCAGGTCCGCTTCCGAATACATCGATGCCTGGATCCGCCGCTCGTCCGTCACCACGCTCTTCGCCTCTGCAGAGGACACGCCCGTTGACCCCGAGTACCACCTCGTCGGCGTCCTCGTCTCAGGACGGCACTGGAAGTCCGATGGGCCGATTCATCGCGCCACAGGGCCGGGGAGTGCCGCGGCTACGGCCACGGCGCTGATATGCGGACGCAGGAACTGGGATCCTGAGGGCCAGTGGGTGCGTCTTGGCGCGTTGAGCATCGCGTATGGCGGGCTGGTGCCTGTGGCGGACGAGGCTGATGCGTCCATCATGAAGGGCGTCGATGCGAGGAGTGGGGAGAAGAAGGATTTGAGGGTACGGTTGCGGGAGTTGGATATCTATTGAATTATCCCTTTGATTTTGTTTAATGCTTGTATACGTTATGAGGGTGGGGATCTAATTAATTGACTTTTTGATGTATGAGTTTGCGATATGTATATATATGTCTATATACCAAGGGGATGTTTGATTGTTTTATTTGGGATGGGAAAAGTGTACGCGGCGTCTTCATGACGAAATATATCGATACCAAGTTATAATCATTACATTACTAGTTAACTCTTGTGCCTTACATCTTTGTAAATGTTTCTTCATACATCATCCAATCGACAAATCAAGTCTCTGGACTTCGGCCGGCTGCTTAAAACAATTCAATCCATCTCCATCATGGCCCTCACAGACAAATCATTATGCACCCAACCCACAATCCGGCTTGCCACATCGCCCACCAACTTATCATAATGCGGCCCAGGCAAGAAAACCGCACAATGGGCCGTCACCTCATCCATGCCGTCCATGTACACGCTCACCCACGTAGGATCCATAACCCCATCCGTCTTGCTCGGCGTATTGCAAAACTTTCTCAATTTCTTAGGCTTACCCATCGCTTCCGACTCAGCAGTCTCAGCCAAAGAAGCGGATGACGATGCTGCGGCTGCTTCCTTGTCCAACCGCTTCTTCTCCGCTTTGCTGGCCTTTTCTTCTTCCTTGTCTAGCCGCTTCTTCTCTGCCTTGCCAGCCTTTTCTTCTTCCTTCTCGAGACGCCTCTTTTCCTGTTCTGCTTTTTGCTTCTGCTTCTTCATGTCCTTTTCGAGCTTGTCCGCGTCCTTTTGGGCATCCTTTTGGACCTTCTTTTGACGCTTCTCGATTAGTTTTTCGCGTTCGCGGAGGGCCTTGCTGCGGTCTTTGACGGCGTTCTCGTAGGCCTTTTGAAGACGGCCGAATTCCTTTTCTGCCTGTTTGCGGGAGTCTTTGTCTGTATATTGTGATAGATCCGGCTGCTCTGGGGGATGAGGGAGATCGGGGATTGGAGGGAGATCTATATCGGGAGGAGAAACCAGGAGTGTGTCTGACGGAGTTTCCTTTTCATCAACAGAGCCCTCAGGCACAACGGATGGTGCGTCTGATATGACTGGTGGTGCTGTTTCTAAGTCTTGCTCTATAAAATCGTGTTCTGTTTCATCCATGGGAATTGGGTCAATCTCCTGCATAGACAACATAGACACATTAGACAGCCGGTTCGAAGTAGTAGGCAACTCCGGCTCTTCCAACTGAAGACTTGAACCAGCATTTTCAATATCCTTCTCTCTCTTTGGAGTTGGGGCTGCTACTGGTTCATTAAGACCAATCTCTTTAGCCGGAGGACTGGGATTAGAAAGTGTGGGAGAGACCGGACTTCTCGGTTCATCACCCTCTGTTGAAATGGTCACGTCGGCCAGCTTTGTGTTAATATTGTCCTCAGCCTTGTACTCAGATATAGGAATTGTTGACACATCGACCTGGCTTGGATCACGGCTGCCTTCAGCCGTAGATGGCGGTTTAGGGCGGCCAGAAGCAAGCGTATAATAGTTGGCAAAGCGAACTCGAGTGTGTGAATCGTTGAATGTGCCACCGCTCAAGACTTGGAGATCATCAACATCTTCAAGAGCACGAAGTTGGTTGTATCGCGACATGAGCCCGCGATAGTCGGCCAGACATCCCCCAAACTCTAGATGGGAGGCAATGTGGTTACCAAAGGCAGTAAGGAGGCCTTCAGACCAGTGCTTGGAACTGAAATTCATCATGCGAGTAAGAAACGATTTTTCTCTGAATGGCGCGTCATTGACGAAAGGGGGGTCAAAGTTAGGATCTCTTGGTTCGCTCAGTGGACTATTCATCGACATGGTAGGTGTTAGGGGCTGTGGATCAGCCGGGTGAGCCTCCGGAGAGGACGGCGATGCGGAGGCTTGACCAGAAGGAGTCGGGGATTGTTGAAAGAGACTTGAGATTCCCGAAGCTACGATGCCGGGATGAAGTCCTAAAAAGGGCGAATCTAACGACAGAGTTCCCAGAATACGATGCTTCAGAGGCCGCTGGCTGGACGAGATTTGGGTAGGCTGTGGAAGTTCACGGCATTAGAACAGGGAAATCGTTATAAACATGGGCTTTCTCAGACCAGGGATGGCTTACCATGAGAACCATCTCGGCAGCCAGTAAGCCTCCCATGGAGTGGCCTATGAGAATAACATCGGTTGTGGGCGACTCGTGAGGCTCCAGCCAAGCGCTAAAGTTATCCCTCGCGACATCTATGGCCTTGTACGTCTTGTATCTAGGGTAAATTTTGGAATGGACGGCATGGGTTTCTGAAAGCGCTTCACGTAGGAAGTTATGGACATGAGCAGGGAATGATTGAAAGGACTGGTCATTCCCATAGAACCCATGGATGTAGACCAATAGAAGGATTCGTCTGCTATCCGAGCCGGAGCTTGATGGTACCAAAGATTGTGATGACGAAGTACGGGGGTCTTTGATCTTGGAGAGCAGGATTTGGGGGCCTTGTTGATCCGGAGAGGCCAGCGAGGCTCGGGACTCATCCACGGCGGAATAGGGAGGTGGCGGAGGTAATTGGGAATTGTCCCTTGGCGGCAGGGGAGGTGGCGGCGGCCGGGGGACGGATCTTTCTGGTAGAGGAGGAGGCGATGCCATGGTGTTGGATTAAGGGATGATATGAAGCGGTTGGTTTAAAGGTGAAGATGATATGGATATCTCCGGGATGCCAGAGGGTGTAGAAGAGGGCTGGTGTCAGGAGCGAATTTCTGAATGAAATTGTGGAAGAGTTGCCATCACTGTTGTTTTATTATGGCCGGAGATGTATGAATAAATCACAGCTTCGATGTCGTCGTCATCGAGATGAATAAGAATAAGCTTGTGAATCAAAGTCAAACGATCGGCGACGGGACTCGGGAGACTGTCAAAGGCCCGGAGCGGGGGAGAGATGAGGCTGGCCGAGATGCAGATGGCGGGGCTGCCGTTTCTTTGCTGAGCGCAATCGATAAGGACCCTGAATCACTACCAGGTACCCAAGTAGATTTTGGAGTAGTACAATGCCTCTGCACTGCAGCTGTATAGCGACTCTAAGTATTTCCCGTCAGTGGAGGAGCAAGAAGTGCTACGGCGCTATTTAGCGAGTATTTAGGTGTTAGGTGTTAGATAGAAGCACCACGACGTTGCTGTACAGTGCCTTGGATTGATGCTATGAATAGCCCTGCAGTTGGGACCTGGTGCCTGGGCGTACTCGTATGTTCCCAGGCGCGAGCTGTTGCGCTAGGCTACGCTAAGCTGCATGTGGCAGTAAAAAAGCCACTGCATGGTGCCTGCGCATGGGTCATTCAGGGTGGGGGTTGATGTCTCAGCCTGGGCCAATGGCAGCGAAGCAGAGCGACAACGACATGCAAGTACAAGTACTGGTGATTGGGGGCATCAATGCCAGAAAGGAGCACCACCACGGCACATCCGTCGTTCCGAACCTCGCTGATTCAAGACACGCACGCAGTGGTGCCGTTGGGGTCTTTTTTGTGGCATTTTGATTCATGTCAAGTGTCATTGGACCCAGCTTATCTCGTATTGTTGGCGTTTTTTTTTAACAGCAGATGCAGACTGGATTAACTTAGTGCCTGTACCTACTAGGTACTTTGACAACTTGAAGGCACGCACTTTGGCTGTAGTCCAAATGTCTATCAAAATAACACACACGATTTGACAGCACGATATTCCGTACTGCTGTTGTAGACATTACTGCCCACGAAATTGTTTGCTAGAGCAGCTTAGTGGTGCCTGCAGATTAGCCAGGAGCACGGCGAGAGCTCCTAGTCTCCGCCCTCTTTCGTCGTGCAGTCTCCCATCTGTAGTGCTAGGGATGCATTGATGCTACACAGCACTAGCAGGGTTGCCCATCGCTTGCTCGCTCCGTATTTTGGACAAACGGCGAATAGCGCGCAAACAACTAGGCGGACGAAGACTGTACAGTACCTAGGTAGTGAGATGAAGAAGAGAAAAGTTCTTAGTGGCGCAACTCACGTGCCGTTAGAGGAAGCTATTCCGGATGCTAATGGACGTAGAATAATTAAAGGCTTGGTGAGATGACTCGTGATGAGTCTGTTGCAACTAACGGCGATAGAGTCAATACATTCTCGTACTATAACGAAACCTCAGTCGTCATGTTCTGTAATACCGACCAAATGCCTGTCTGTTCGCTTGTGAGTATGTATTCTCCGTGCTTACTCCGTATGGGTACTGCATCATGCTATTATTTCGCCGCGTACTTCTTCTCCGAACCTGGCTCGGAATGCCCCGTCTCCATTGATTGACTGATCTTGCCTGTAGTACGAGTACCCAGTCGCACCCTCGCGCTAGCATACCGAGATGGAGCACATTGTGATTACCGACTAGAGATGATCCGTACTATTCTATATTAAAACCACAATGCCTTTGCCTATATCATCTTAGATTGTATCAGCTGCCTCGAAAAACGCACGCACGTATGCTATTACGTATCACTACTACTACTGCACTCGTACTCGTTTTTTAACAGACTACACAAGTGCCATACATTGATTGCTTTCCAATTTCACCAATGCCCGATGTTGTTATCGTATGCATATGCAAATGCTTGGTGTGATGGATGCCTTTTGCAGCTGCTAGTCCTCACACGGGCACATCACATGCATCCCAATGGACGGATCAAAAGCTTCACCACCTCCTTGTACTCTCTGCTGGCCAGTGGCATCTCGCCCTGTATCGTATCAATCTGTGCGCGGACCTGCATCGTTTGGTGCGTCTTGGCACTTCGACGTTCCTCACTCAGACCCGTAAATCGAGTGGCAGACGGCCTGTGATTGGCTGCCAGCGCCGCAACCCCCGCCATAGCGAAATTACATGTACCGACAAGTATCCTCGCCAGCGGCCTTTTGCACCTGGAAGCAGGCCTGTCCCGGCACCTGCGCTAGCATCAGCCTCAGGCACGGAGCAATTGGGGGAGATGCGCCAGTGCCTGGAGCACCTGTAATTAACCACCAGCCAATAATCCT